GCTGTTCACTGCAATGCATTATTTTTTATATTACTTTTTTCAGTGCATGAATTGTTTTGATTGCTAGTCACATGAGGTGAAAGCATCTGTTAAATTATGGGTTCACTGTTACTCGAAACTGTCTCCACAGGATCCTAGGCAGCTTGATTTCGGCACATATCCTTCTGACTGACTCCAAGCAGCCATTTGGCAATATTGGCCTGGTGGATTATGACAATGAGCTTCTGCATCTGGCTCGTGATTTAGCCGTCAGGCTCCTTCCTGCTTTTGAGAACACCAGTACAGGGATTCCTTATCCTCGTGTAAGTGGTGACTTCCAACTATTAGACACGCTATCTCGGAAATATTTGAAGAGAAGAGCTGGTACTTTAACTTGGTTTTCAATCTCTGCTGTCTCCATTGAAAATTGCCAGTCAGCATAATTGCTCTTTGGATTCCAGGCTTTTGAAATCGCCATAGACATGGTCATAATGGATACAAACTATTCCAGAGTAAAAGAAAAATTAAATTGGCATTTATTAAGCAAGTGCTGTCAAAATGGCAAAGAAAGTTTATTCAGCTTACATGGACTGCACCCCTTTCAAGTCCAATTTTAAAAGCAAGTATCCTTTTGTAAATATTAAATAATATTAAGAATATTTCTTTATCTTAAAATAAGTTTTTTTTAATTCATTGGATGTTTGACATCAAAAACGGTCTCTCTTGTCAAAGGTGAACTTGAAGAATGGTGTTCCTCCCAACAGCATCAATGAAACGTGCACAGCTGGTGCTGGCTCCTTATTGGTGGAGTTTGGGATTCTTAGCCGCCTTCTGGGAGACTCAACGTTTGAGTGGGTGGCACGAAGGGCTGTTAAAGCCCTTTGGAACTTCAGGAGCAATGAGACAGGCCTATTGGGTAAGTCTGCTTGAGATCCCTCTGCAAAATGCAGTTCCTTTTGACAGTTCAGCAGATCAAGCAGTCCACCATTTCCTTTAGGGCTTAGAAGAGTAAATCGGGTTGTCACGCCCTGGATGATAAATGCGATATCTTGTTGTTCTTTCCTTTTTCAAATTAGGCAACGTGATCAACATCCAGACGGGTCAGTGGGTTGGCAAGCAAAGTGGACTGGGCGCCGGAATGGACTCCTTCTATGAGTATCTGCTCAAATCTTATATTCTGTTTGGAGAAAAAGAGGACTACAAGATGTTTCATGCTGCTTATGAGAGCATTCAGAGCCATATGAGAAGAGGGTCAGTATGAAATGTCGACTCCTCGGTTTGTAAAGGGGAACTGCAGTCCCAATTTCTCAGACCGGTAATTAAATCTCAGTAACAAAATAAATTCATTGACATTATAGAAAATTTTTACAAATTTCGAATGAAGCACAAAATCGTGAACTGTGTGAAAGTACTATAAGTCGCCATGTTGTTGCGACATGAGCCAGAGGAGCCGCATAACAATTCACTATAATGATTAATGTAATGTGATGTACGAGATAATAAGTACAGGTGTGCAGCAGACATTTTGCGGCATAAATGTTACAATGTGATCTGTGTGCAGAATTAACAAGTAGTATTTGTTGGCAAAACCGTCAAAATCGAAACCAATATTTCTATTGGATTAACAGAAATCTATTCTCAAGCCTGTTTACAATGTAATAAGGCCACAACACGCCACTGGAAGTCTTGCTGCCTTGTTCTGAATCGCGCAATATGGTGCTACGCACACCTGAAGATTGTCTATTTTGTGGTGTAGATTGGAGGTTTTGCAAGTTACTGTGTACATTTTACTTTTATTGTGGTTTGAAATGAACCATCAATGCAGAATCTTTCAAACATCTGAAATATAAAAATAGCATTGCAGTTCTTCCTGTGCAGATACTTCTGTAACCTAAGCAGTTGATAAATCAGTGGAAGATGTTTCTGGTGCAGAATTTAGCAATGCATCATACTTGTGTCTAGGGCCATACATTTTCAGGCCTTCCTATATTGTGCAAAGTACAGAGTAATTTGGTAGGCCAGCCTCAAAACAAAGGTATAGCTTTGCATATACAACATGGCATAACCTGTGCAGGAAAGGGTTTAAGAGCATATTGTGGGCAGAGAAATTGCTTGAAGAGTAACAGAAGTTGTCAGGTAAGATTTGTGGAGCTGAAATTGCACCGGACTTAAAAAATAATGTTCAAGGACTAGTGGAGGGTGGATATCTGAAGTTGTAAATAAGCGGTCTTTGTTCTACGACATCTTTGCTTAATATGTTAACTACTCCCTTGGAGTGGTATCACTCCTCAGAAAAGGCTTTGTCTTCTGTGCTTGTTTCTGTGTAATTGTTTGACTAGATAAATGGGAAAGTCCCAGCTGGTACTCTGAATTGCCTACAGCTTTTGTAGCTGAGCAGTTCCTGTAATGCATACATAATAAACTCACTGCACCTTTTGTCACAAACAAACCTGACTGAGATTGTGGATTGTTTACACCTGTTAATTTTCCCTTAAAAGAATATTACAAATCCAATCTGCTTTCATGGATTGAAGTTGTTGTTGAAATTCATTAATTAAGTGTCAGGAACACTTCTTTCAGCACCTTCTGAATTGGAAAACAATACTTAGACTTATTTACATTAGATTTTCTTGGTACATTTGGAAGTCGGTGCATGTGCGAAATGCATTTCTCCAAACTTCTTAAGAGAAATTAAACTTACTTTTACTTCAATTCTGATCAGTATGGCAATGTGACAGTGTGCCTGGCTGCTTCAGAGTTATTGGGTTTTCTGGTGAAATCAAACCTTGCTACACATTTGCTTCAAGAGGCTTTTACAAGTGTCTTGCATTATTAGTTATGAATTTTACAACTAACATCTCTCTTTGCTGTGCAATTAGCAGATATTAAGTCTTCACTAGATGCCAATTTAAAGAAGCTTACCCTCTGAGTAGGGGAGGTTTATTTATCGTTATTAATCATAATTATTTGAAACATTTTCACTGTTTCAAGTGAAATGTAGTCTTTTCAGTATATATGGTCATTATGTCATGGTGAAGTGGCTCGTCAACACTCCATTTGCAGTTTTGTGTGTGAAGAAACCTACCTGCTATTTTTATTTGTAAAATGTAGTTCCTTCATTCTGAATCATGCAAGATCCTGCCAGGAGAGGGAAATCAGTTTGAACCAAAGCAGAACTGAAACAGTGTCAGAGCACTGATCATTTTGTGCTACAAAAGACATTCAAGATGGAAGCCTGGAGCCATGTTCAGATCCTGTTAGTATAACTAGTCCCAACAGTTTACACGTCAAATTGTGTGTTATTCAGAGTTGCATTATTTATATATTTAATTTAGAACATTTATGAAAGAGTTCAACATACAGATATCTATGTGGTGCTACTCTTCTGCCAGTGCAGTTTTATTGTAGATTGATGGACACTAACTTTATAGTTTTCACAATATTGAGTCATATCTTCAAAGTCCCTTAATTTAACAGAGGCAGGGATAAACATTTAGAGCCCTGGGTAAAACCACACTCGGTATAATTGTTTTATGCAGCTGGAATAATTAAAGGCATTTGTGATGAACATTTTTTAGTTTAAGAACCAAGAATACGCTTATATTCCATGCCAGAACTGCTTTTTTGTTTTGAAACAAGTTGCATGGTTCTGTAGTTGCAAGCACCATGCATCTTATGTGTTCTTGATCGCAAAACCACATGAAGCCCCATCCATACTGGCTTTTAAATGTGGGCTCTAGGCTCTAAATTGTTTTCTGATAAAACTGCCTGGAACACATGGTTTCAAAGTGAGAGACGGGCTCCTCTGCCCAGCTCATCCATCGAGCATGTTTTGACATGCTATGCAGCAACGTACAGGAAGTTCGTCTTGGACTGGAAGAGTCATGACCCGGCAGATGCCTGGGAAAGTTCAAAGGTCACCGTTTCACCGGAACCGAAGAAAGTCATGGCCCACAAACCCAAAGTGTACCCTGGTGGTGCTGAGCTATTTGTGCAGTTCTGCTTGGGGTCACATATGGCCGGTGACATGATCCGGGTTTGAAGTTGTGATGCCCGATTCACGGAGTTGGATGTGTGGAGCTCTTTTACCTCTGTAATCGGCTAATTTAGTCTTTCAGACGATGCCTCTTAAAATCCGTAATTCGTTTCGCTTTGTGTGTCCATTCCCCGTGTTTGTAGGCGGGAGTCCTGCAATGAAGGGGAGGGCGATCCCCCACTGTATGTCAACGTGAACATGTTCAACGGACAGATCATGAACACCTGGATAGACTCCCTTCAGGCTTTTTTCCCTGGTCTTCAGGTATAAAATGTGACTTTTTGTCTACTTCTGTCTATTTGTATAATAAAGTTGCTTTAATATATTAGTGCAAGTTACCCAAAATGGCTGCATTCATTGTAAGCTTTAGTTTCCTCTGATCTTGGTGCAGCCTAGGAGGAGACTGCTCTTGGGGTGAAATAGTATGTCCCTGTACATCGTGAGTCTTGATCGGCAGCCAATCTTCCCGAGGGTGGCTCCAGACATATCACATTCAAAGGATTTGTTGAGAAAACAGTTAAGGTTAATGCATTTGTGGTTTGATGAAGTTAAAGTCTGATGATTTTTGCAGTTAAAGGCTTGCTTTCCATACTTTAAGCACAGCATTCTAATTATGATCATGGTCTTGAAGGTGACACTGTTTTAAAATTAATTTTCAGGTGTTAAACGGAGATGTAGAAAATGCAATCTGCCTGCACGCCTTTTATTATGCCATATGGAAGCGATTCGGTGCTCTACCAGAGAGGTACAACTGGCAGCTACAGGCACCAGATGTCCTTTTCTACCCACTAAGACCTGAGCTAGTGGAGTCCACCTACCTTTTATATCAGGTACTGAATGCTCTTTAAATTGCTAGCAGTCTTAAAAATGTTTATTTCTAATACCTAAGAGTTAAATATTTATATAATTAATACATTAAAATATTAATCGACAACTATGATATACCTTTCTCCTGAATCCAGTAATTCAAAGCTCACCTGTTGTGTGTCAGAAATTGTCGAAGCTGCATAATGAAATTATATTTTTTTGTGAAGATGTACAATGTGAAAATATATTCCAAGATGATTGTCCATAGTCTAGGCTAGTTGGGGGGGAAAAATGTTGTTGGAAATGGATAGAAATACTTTTAAATGGTGTATTCCCTATTGCACAGGCTACCAAGAATCCCTTTTATTTGCATGTTGGAATGGATATCCTTCAAAGCCTTGAAAAAAATACCAAAGTCAGGTAAGTGGTTCAAAGGAAAAGCAAATTAATGTATAGAAGAATTTCATTGAGAAACCTTACATTTCATCTAAAGCCTTATTCCTGTACATAGTGCAGCATGGATGTGGAACATAGAGGTGTGGTAAAAAGTCCTGTTTTCATCCCCACATGCACTAAGCAGGCTTCATCACTGAGACATGTTTTTTTACTGCTTTCTCCATTTCAGAGCGGAATTTATTTCTGCTAGTTGCTTTCCAGCTTGCACACTGACACGGCTCCCCTACAACTTTCTATAGATAGATACTTTGTTGATCCCGTGAGGGAAATTGCAGTGCAACAGCAGCTTAACACAGACAACACAGCCACAGTGTAACGAATGATACAATAATAATAATAGTACAATACATACAATATAATCAGTACAGTGAGAGGTGCACTAAAAGAGTTACTCACAGTCCGGACACACAAAGAACAAAGTAGAACAGAACAGTACACAGAAAAATCGTATCACACATATGAATATAAATATAGATATAAATGTATTGCACAGGTCCCTGGCATATATTGCACAAAAAACGGTTGTAAACGGGAAAAGAAAAAAAAGAGAACAGATGTAGCAGTAGATGCATTCAGTCCAGAAACGGGTTACTGTCAATGTTGCCTCTGCCCAGACGCAAGGTGGATGCGTTGTATAGCGTTGTATAGAGACGCAAAATACTTTTTGTTCTTCTGCCATTGTCTTTGGGTTTGTATAGTGTCAGAAATATCAAAAAGCCTGAAGTGTTTGCATATTTTTCCACAGATGTGGGTATGCCACTCTTCATCATGTGGTAGACAAGTCCAAAGAAGACAGAATGGAGAGCTTTTTCCTCAGTGAAACTTGTAAATATTTGTATCTGGTATGCGTTACATTTCCTGATCTATGATAGTTTCAATATGAATATTCCAGAAAAACATCAATTATTTTAGAAACATTGTATTCATTGCTGATGATAATGTATCTTTGTTTACATCTGTTTTAATGTTTATATTTTATATAGTCTGTTTTTTAGTATTTTGTTTCCTTGTTTTATGCCCAAAGTAATTAAGTACCCCAGTACCTTAAAATATAATTAACTCCATTTTGTAGTATAAAGAATAAAAAAGCAAAGATGTTTGTAGGCCCTGTATAGTTCTCCTCAGCTCACTCATGCTTTTGTTTTAAGATCCTTAATCTAATAAACTGACATTTTACCGCCACAAATACAGTGCAGGGAATGTGTGCGTGTAATAATGTAAGAGAAAACTGAGTTCGTTTGATTTCATTTCCAGCTGTTTGATGAAGATAACCCTTTGCACAAGTCTGAGAATAAGTACATCTTCACCACTGAGGGCCACGTTGTACCGATAGACGAGCGCTTCCGAGAGAAAGCTTGGCGGGATCTCTTCCCTGGGGACGAAACCCTGCACGCAGACAGGGAAAAGCCAAATATGCCTCCAGCCAACACCAGCAATGTAAGATTTTCACCCTAATGGGCCTTAGGGGCATCTGGGAGCTTTGTTAGTGTCTGCTTTGCTTTCAGTTAAGGATCCATCCATCAATTTTTTAACTGCTGCATCCAATTCGGGGTCACTGGGGAGCGAGAGCCTAATGGGCGCAAGCAAGGTACACCCTGGGTGGGACACCAGGTCATTGCAGGATGCGCACAGACACGACGCATACATACTCACACCAGGGTCATTTTTCTCAGAAGCCAATTTACCTGCCAGTATATTTTTTTTGACCGTGGGAGGAAACTGGACAACCTGGAAGCAAACTAGTGCATGCAAGGAGAATATACAAACTCTGAACAGATAGCAGATCTGCAGTTGAACCCAGAGCCCCCGTGCTGTGAGGCAGCAATGCTAACCACTGTGCTACTGTGCCACCCTAGTGAAAGAATGCACCGTTTTTATGCTTCCTAGCCCAGTACTCGCCAGTACTCACTGGTTTCACTGACTCTGCTTAGTTGTTAATGTTGAACTAGGTAAGCATGTTTACGGCTTGCTTATCGTGACTTGCAGAATTCCTTCTTCATTACGCACTTTCTTACAGTCTATAATTGTACAAAACGTTTGGCAGATGTTAATGAACTCTGTGTGCTTTTCGTTATTGTATTAGTCATGTGGTCAAAATCTGACTCCAGACTACTTTCTATTGCCAGTTCAGACTTGTATAATGTCTGTGGTCTTGTATAATGAAGTGGTTTCTGACTATAAATACGCAAGGGATAGTGGGTCAATTGGGTATACTGTATGTTTTGTCCTGTGTGATGTACGGGTTTAGAGACATGCTTGCTCTTAGTTAAACTTTAAATAACCTCCCACTTCAAATTGATTTATCTGTCCTTTATCAGAGAATCACTTCTGTAAAATGGTTAATGTAACCAGATGGGGAGAAGCCTAAAGGACTGATCAGCAACTCTGACCTTTTCACCTATTAGTCTATTCCTCTTTTCACACATTTGTCGCTCTGCAGTGATGTATAGTGTAGGAGATTCAGTGCTTATTGGAGGAGAGGTGCTTCCTACACTGACATGTAGGGCGGAGCGGTGGCTCTGTGGTTAAGGATCTGCGCCTGTGACCGGAAGGTTGCCAGTTCAAATCCCGCGGCCGGCAGAGGAATCCTACTCCGTTGGGCCCCTGAGCAAGGCCCTTAACCCTAACTGCTCCAGGGGCGCCGTACAATGGCAGACCCTGCGCTCTGACCCCAAGCTTCTCTCCCTGTCTCTGTGTCTGTGTCTCCATAGAGAAAAGCTGGGGTATGCGAAAAGACGCATTCCTAATGCAAGAAATTGTGTAGGGCTAATAAAGAAACATTACATTATTATTACATTATCACTGTGAGCTTACATTCACCCAGGTAGTTACGGAAGGTCATTGTTTCACTGAAAATAGGAGAGGCCTGGTTAGATAATCCCAACCCTATCTCAGCTGGTATTGATTCGGTTATGCAGTACCACTGAGGCAATTCCAGTCTCATTCAGCTGGTAACATGACTCAAGCTAGCCTTTTTCAGCCAAGCTCCTCTAGAGCACAAATCGTAGAACAATGTAAATAGATGGAAAGGGACATCTGTAGTTCTGTAGAACAACACTGTGGTCCTCGCTAGAGAAATATTTCCGGTAGTTTAGGTTTTTCTTTTCTTTATACTTGTAAATTTCAGCTATTGTTGTATGGCCCTTTTTGCATCTGAAATCTTAAATCACAATACAAAGATTAATTGAGACAACCACATCTGTTTTTGTACCCTCTATATAAGCTATTACATAGTGTGTGTGTGGGGGGGGGACGAGTATTACTGTACAGTATGTATTGGTGAGGATGAAAACATTTCCTTGCCTCCAATTCTTTATGCAGTTTGTTTCATTTAGTACCAGGCTAAGGAAATTGATTATCTTCAGCTGTCGCTGGTTGTTGAGGCAGTTGCCTAAAAAGATGTACATTTAATACGCAGGAATACTAAAGCTTCTCTTTTTTTGTGTGTGCTTTCAGTGCAACAGGATTCCAGACGAAAGGCGATACGCGTTGCCCTTGAAAAGTGTTTACATGAGACAGATTGATCAAATGGTGGGGCTGCTGTGAGGAAGTTCTTCTGGGATGGAGAAAAGTTACTCTGTATGGGAACATTGCTGTGCTGCAGAAAGACGTGTGGGACGGGGGAAAGAGCTCTGTACAAACATGATGTTGAGGGAGTGAATGGGTTGAGCTTTTCTGAACCTCCGATATACTCGATTTCAGGTATTGTGCTTATTAAAGGTATTCAGTAAAATGGGTTTTCAATCTTATTTGTTTCTCCTGAGAAGTTGAAGGTGTTCAGAAATTCTGACTAATCACAGAGGATTGCACAGGATATGGATTTCTGTCACTTTTAATTGATAATTTTCAATATGTATTTTTAAATTAATGCGAACACTTAACTTATTGGATGATAAGTTGTCTCCATATTCTGGGCTCTGCCTTGTCAGGTGTTCTTGTATTTTTTTTCCAGGAATTTACAGATGTGCTTCTGTATCACGGTCACAGATCATAACATTTCCCAGTTCTCCTTCTGTTTGATTAAAGTTCAGGTTAGAGGAAAAATCTGAAAAGGCACATTTGCCAACGACCACAATGCAAAGTTACTGCTTTACATTCATGTGCATCATACATTACATGTGCATTACCAATTAAAGTACAGATTTATTTTTTATTAAAGAAAAGACCAGTTTTATAATAAGATATGGACACTATTTTAAGCCATTTAATAAGTATCACTTTTTAGGTTATTTTATAATGTATAGTGTACATCTAGTATACACACTATATGCAATACTATATCTTATTGAAACAGTCTTAACCTTCAGTCTTTTATGAACAATCTATCCATAACTACCCCTTGTAGGACCTGTCTTCCGTTTTTTTCTGAAGTGTTAAGACTTTTTCCTATACTGTTACTGAACTAGTTGTATTTGAAGTTATTTCTGTAAATGTTATCCTGAGATGCTATGTTTTCCCAATCAGTCCAGGAATACAATGTTTACACTACAGTGATGGTCTGTGCTTTGAATAATGTGGTTAATTCAAAGGCTAATGCAGTATGAGCTAATTGCATTGCTATAGTAATTCTTCATTGCAAAAAAGATGGGCTAAGAAAAAGGGTTTAAGGAGCTGCTGCTAAAAGACCAGATCTGTGAAAAACTCAAACTTCATACAGGCTGTAATCTTTAGTGGTATAGTCTGAGCAATGATCATAAACTACTGCTGTTCAGAGTGCTACCAATGTCCAGTGTTAAGCCGCTGGGATTGAACTTTGCCCTTTCAGGTAAACTGACAAGTGCTTCATGAAAGTGGTCTAAATGCCAAGAAGATTAATGCAATAAATTCACTAAGTGCTACCCAGTTATTAGTTTCTTTTTGTTGCTATTGCATAAAACATTCCATGTGTAAAACCACAGAAATCATATATGACAGAGGGTGAAATGATTGTACTAGAATGAAATAACTGAGATTTCGACTAATAATGTTTTGACTATTATTAGAATAAAGGTGTATTTCTTGAAGAACCTTGACTGAGCTTTCCCATAAACATTGTTTTCCTATTTTTTAGAATCTAAATTCCATCTCCCTCAAAATGTTTCACATGCACGATCTTTAAATGTAGTTGGGCAGATAGAATTTATAATTTAAATCGGGTCAACATTTTTATGGTCATTTTGTTGCATTAACCTTTATTAGGTTTATTACAACCTAATTGCATGGTGACTCATTGTGCCATTGGTAGTCGGTGGATAGTAATAAAGTCTTTAAAAGCCTTATTTTAATCAAATTAATTTCTTAGACAGGTTAAATGATGATCCACATTCTCTTGCCCAGTTTTAAAAGTAGAAAGTTCATCTGAACATGAATTCAGGATACATTATCTGTTTTATCCATTTACATGTATCATGATTTGACCGTTTTTTTTTTAACTGAGATCACAGGTGTGTCCTTTTGTGTAAATGCCATTAAAAAACAATATCCTGTGCATTTTTGTCAAGTATGTCAACAAATTTATTTCAAGCACAATTTGTAGAAATCTCTGTGGTGTACTACATAGAAGGTGACAAGTAAAACAAGCTTTTCTTACAAAATGTAATTTTCCCAATTAGGTTATTCACTTTTTAATTGTAACTTCCTTAAGATATGTTTTTTTTTCACCTCTGCAAATTTTGGTTTTTAATTAACTGATGTTCTTTTGTTGTAAAGCTCTTTCTGACATTCAAATGTACACTGAACGAGGTCTTCCAAAGTCAGTATTTCAATTCTTAAAATTAGAATCTCTTCTGTTTTGTCTTGTCACCGATGCTGCTTTTGTTGTTTTATTTTTATGGTGTTTTCATGTTCTCATCATACCCATGTTGAATTGTTGCTGGATTATCCCCGTGTGTGCATTTGTCCTGCAGTGAGCTGGTGTCCTGTGCAAGGTGTAGTTCTATCTTGCACCCAGTATTTCTACGATAGGTTCCAGGTTGCTGCAACCAGTGCCAGGAATAAGCATCTTTCTGATTTAATTTTTAATAAGGTGCATATTAAACCTTTAATTATTCCTTTATTAACTCTTGATAGATAAAGAATACATAGTATATGCACTGTTAATAGATTAGTTATAAAATGTCTAAACAGCACTGTTACCAGCAAAAGTGAGTGTAAGAAGCCTGATAAACTTTTTTTTTACTTCATAAGTGGAAACAAGATATTAGTTATTAGACAGCAAGTTTTTCAATGTCTTCCTCAGATAATGCATTGTGTATATATATTATATAAACACATATATAAATAGTACTCAATAATTAAGAACTTCATAACTAATGAACTCAGTTAATATACTAGGTATACATTATTTACCGAGAGTTAAAGGAATAAGGGTTTGTTGTTGAACCTTATTATACACCTTATTTTTTTTTTAAAAATGGGAATCCTCAAGGGTTTTTGCTCTAGATCTGAATTTTGCTCTTACTTAGCAGAAAGTTGTGTTGATTATAAGATGTCACTTTCACAGCCTTGGTTTGTTTGTTATTCTTATTTAATGTGTGTGACCAGTGGAGTTCAAGCATGCTTTTGGCACTGTCATAGTCTTCCTTTATCCCAACAACGTTGGTGCCTAGGGACACTAGTAGGGCTATTATTTGAAGGAGACAAAAGCCTGTAACTCAGGGAATTTTTCTTTGTATTTTTTAAGTTTTCCAGTTTATGCCCACTTTTAGAGCAGAATACTTGTAAAGATCTTCCAGTTTTTTCTGAAGTGTGGAAATGAACATTTTGGGTTGTGTTTATAAAATAAAATTGCAACTGATTTTTTTTTCTTTCACAAGTATATCCAGGTAATGAAGCAATTCTTGGCATTCTCAGCATGTTAATTAAGTAGTTGTTCATTTTTTTTTGCAGTCTGGTTGCTACTTTGACTTGTTATATGGGGTTGTAGTTTGCATGTGGGGTTAGGGTTCATGAAATAACTGGTAAATTGTTGGATTATATCCTGAGTGACACTGCTATTGTACCCTGGGTTTAGACATTTCACTTAGATGGCTTCAGTAAAATGCTTAGCTGTATATATGGGTACGGATGTCAGTTGCTTTGGATAAAGGCATCAGCCCAACACATTTTTACAAAATGTTGGGCTATACTGTATGTTGGATACACATTTTCACCAGACTCTAAAAGCAGGCACCCTATGTAGTTTTGTTTTAATTAAAACTGATAACAAGCATCTTATAAAAACTAACTTTATATAACATTGTTTCAGCACGTGTGTTAATGTTTTGTAAACATTGCCTTTGGCGTTTCTGGTTTGCTTTCAGCAATGGATTAACATGTAACTGTTACTCTGTCAGTGAGTTAATAGTGGCAAAAGACTGTTAATACAATGGAAAAAAAAAACTTTTTATGTTTCCCGGAGGTGTGATCTGATTGAGTTTTCTTGGTTAAAAATTGTTCCTAAATTGTACTTGGCTTTTGTCTGCAGTCTTTGGTATGTGTTTTTCCAAATGGACAAAGCTCGAGGATATTTAGAAATCATTTAGGGCTAAACAACTAAATGGTCCTTAATGGTTTTAGTGGTTAAATTAATCAAAGATGATCTAATGAGCATATTTGAATGTGCCTACTAAGCAATTGATTTAATTTGGTGTATAATTGCTTAGCTGGAGTGAATTCACAGGAGCCTAAAGGAATTATAATGAATTGTACAACACATCCATAGCTGGTAAGATGCTATTTGTGTTGATACAACTTGCTTTGTTGAATCTAGCCCTGTTTTGTTGTTAAAATGTAATGTGACAAAGTATTAAAGACTGATCCAGACACACTATGACTGTTTCAATAAGTTTTTTGCACAGATTTATGTAACAAAAAGGTAGTCTCATGAAAGTCAAATCATTAAATGGATATTTTATTTTTATTGTGATTGCATAATAAGCAAATTTGGAATATTTCCACAGGCATGAACAGCTTGTCTATTATTGCTGCTTGCTGGTGGGTATAATGTTTCACCTGAAGTGCCATTCCTGAAGAGAAATTCTTTACTCAAATGAATGGTCTGTTATTCAGAAAAGTTCTTTGCAATATTTTTAAAAGGAAATTATTTTTACAAGTCTTGATCTTTGTGAAACCCTTTGTAAGTGGACCAGTGTTCTTTAATAAACATTCAGTTGACATCTCTTGACTTGGTGTTTCTGTGGATGAAAGTGGTGATGTTCAGTGTGGTTCATAAGGCAATAATAGGAATATTCAGAAAGACTGATATTAGGGTGACTAAGATCCAACAGAGAAAGTAGTGAAAGAAACAGCAGTGAAAATCAGGAGAGTTCTGTTTGCTACGCAAGCTGTCTTGACCAAATTTATTCCACTTTGGTGACATTACATACAACCCTTTGTACAGTACATGGTCTTAAGTGGTTACAGAAAGTAGAATAAATAATTAAATGTATTTAATATGGACAAATATCTTATCTTTTTAGTTATTTCACTGCTTACAATGTAACTGAAGTGCCTTCTTTCTAAAAAGACCTACAAGTAGGTGTCTCAGTCTGTTGCCTCAATTTAGGAATGAATATTCATTTACAAATCTATAAAGATGTGTCTGTTTAAAACAAGTTGAGCTCCAGGTTAAATTAATTTTTCTAATTTAAGCTAGTAAAGCTCAATCTTATACCAGTTTACATTCAGTTTTCATTAATACTGTATATGCTTTGCCAATATGAGTTACATAGTGAAATAATCTTTTTTTTTCATTTTGATAGCTAAATCAAGTGCATATGCAGGTGGAATTAAACTTTTACACATATCATCTTTACTGGATTTCATAATTCTGAAAGATCATTTTCTCATGAAATAATGGTACATAGAAGATGTTTTTACCTGGAATGAACTACATCAGTGCCAGTATACACCACTCTTTAAGATTTACAGTTGAATAACTGCTGCATACACCTGCTTAAGTAACCCCTATGTTTATAAAGCACTGTTCCAACAGCAATTTACACCATTCCTCTTGTAACTCCTTTGATAAATTTACCTTTACATCAATGATAATGACAGGCATTTTACCATACAAATTGGGAACTTATGCTACTGCCCACAGCAGATATGAACAGAGACTGGCATATAGTCATAGATTTTCTAATGAGGTGAGTTTTGAACAGTTTTGCATATCAGTCCAGCTCAATCACCTGCAGTCTGAGTTAGAGTTGGTCATTTGTCCTTTACCCTTTTTTTGTTCTTCGGGGGTTTGTTTGTTTTCTCTGGGGAGGTGGGATTCATAGGTGAATGGGGAATTGCTGCATACCTGTAGAAATGGAAAATGAATCAATAAATTACAAACTGGAAGGATTGGGAGATGTTATGGGCTGAAAGCTGCAGTGGGGACAAGATGCTTTTCTTGGTCTGGCCTGCAGGTTAGAGAGAAGGTGATGGGTAAAATAGAAAGCTTGAAGCACAGTCTCAATCTGCCAAACAAGGAATGTTTGAGTCACCAAATCACACATTGACTGCTAGTCTGCCTCAACCTAGCCTTGCTAATGATGGGTAGGAGTGATCTGTAGTAGGTAACACTTGATTTAATTACATTGTTACGTGATGGTCCTTTGTTCAGTATGCATTGTTTTAATGATATTACTTGTGCCTATAGAAGGTTAGAGAGTGTGGAATGTGATTTGTTTGAAACTAAGGCAACAAAAGAACTGACTGGCTAGTGTTTTATAATAGCTTATTTCCTGAAGCAGTTTGGGTGAAAAACTAAATTGTCAAAATGGGAAAAGATTGTTGCTCATAAACATTATGCAAATCTGTATAATTTAGTATAAAATTCCTAATTGTTTTTATTCCTTCATCTTCAGTCCTACTGTATGTGCTGGCACTAATTGATTCTGATTGTTAATATTTCCAGGCTAGTACAAATTGTCGACAAGAATAAAGCAAGTGGTGATATTTTAATTAGTATGTCTGTTGTTACTCATAAAAAACTTGCTAAGTGTTTTTTCTGGTTAATTGCACCACTGGGACTGAGGAAACGATATGCAGAGATGTGTATTTTTGAAGTTGAAGTTTCAAAGCTGGAGAAAAACAGGAGCACTGTACCTGTTTAAGTTGTGGCTCTTAGAAGAGACCACAGTCCTTCAGGTTTTCCTTGATGATGATGTCTGTGACAGCGTCAAACACAAACTTAACGTTTTCTGTGTCTGTGGCGCAGGTCATGTGGGAATAGATTTCCTTGATATCTCTTCTCATGTTCAGCTCCAAGAATTGCAACTTAATGTAATTACCAGCATCTTCATAGGTATTTGGGCCTAGTGAAGGAAGAGTAAAATTTAGCATTTAAAAACAGGACATGGGTATAACAACCTTGGTACTATGTCACTCAAGCTTCCACAATTTTTGTTACTACTTAGTATCTGTTTTCCAGGTCAGGCTCCCACCTCTTCTCATGGCCAAGATAAAGTACCGGGCTTTGAACGTATGTCTTAAAATATTGATTATCATATTGAATGACTCCCATTGGGTCACAGAGAATCATGCAGTTCTCTGACTGTCTTTGTGTTCTTTTCCGTCTAGCTATATAGTCCCACAGCTTGGCTGAACATGGCACGGGGTGTCCTATCTTAGTCCATAAGGACCCGTGTGGTTCTGCAGGTATTCATTCCAATTCAGCTTTTAACAACCAGCTCAATACTGGTTTGATGGGACCAATTTCACAGCTTTCTCTAGCTCTTCAATGGTGCTTTGAAGAGACCTAGAAAACCTGCAGACACATCTTCCCTCCAGGACCAGGACTGCCTATTCCTAGTCCTATTTCTATGATCTTAGCAGAAAGCACTCTTTCTAGTCTCTTAAATACTGTATCTCTACAGACTTAATATGGTGAAAATAATCTTCTTGTTGCATGTTGAGCTATTTACTAACCATCGTAATCAGGGAAGCACATGCTGAGGTGAGCCTTCTTGATCTTTTCAATGAAGACGTCTTTCTTGTTGAGGAAGAGTACGATGGAGGTGGTGGCAAAGTAACGATGGTTGCAGATACTGTTGAACAGATGGAGGCTCTCGTGCATTCGGTTCTGGAAGCAGAGAACAGAAAGACCAGCTTGGGAAAAGGCAGGAGATGGGCAATTTTTGGGCACAAAATACATTGTGAAAGACAAACTGAAACATTATACTCTGACATGTCTTACACCACATACAGTCTGCTACCATACAGTAGAATAGTGTTTCTGAACTGGTTCCGCTGTGGAGTTAATAAAATAGCGTATAAGACGAATATTGTTTTTTATTGGCTTATCAGACACCTCTAACCAGGTTGACTTACAAAATATACAATGCTGTACTACCACACATATTTGTTTACAGAATTCAAGATTGTTTGGAAAAAGAACTGAAAGAATGTTCTTTCTGAAAGAACTTAGGACCCCTGTAAAAGTCCTTTGCCTGGGTTCCGTTTCCTGACTTTTTACTTCTCTGAGTCTGTGGCTGAGTCCCCTGGCCCCATGTGCTCTCTCACCACTTCATCATCTTCTACGAGCACCATGTCGTAAGCGCTCAGAGCTGCGATGAAGATAATACAGGTGACCCCCTCAAAGCAGTGGATCCACTTCTTCCTCTCAGAGCGCTGACCGCCCACATCGAACATCCTGCAAGTGTGAGAGGTGACTCAGCCGAGTCTGTATTAAGTTACTGCACCTTATACTGGCGATAACTGACAATCATTGCTACCTTTGACTGCAATGCTGAAGCTAATTCCAGGCAAGGCTTTACAATTGAACTCCTTTGCCTCTCACAGCTCTTTCAGAAATTTGATAAACGTCTTTTGGTTGGTTTGTTTGATCTAAAGCTGTCTGAAAAACATATCTAAAGGAAAAAATCAAGTGCCAGCAATGATGTACAATTCTCATCTATTCCATTCCCTATGTTCCTAGCTTATCCTGCCTAGGAGGCTTTCAGACCCACCTGAAGTTCAGGTCCTTGAAGGAGAACTGGGTCTCAATGATACCAGTGGTCTTTACTCTTGACCGCAGCACATCTTGCTCAGTGGGGACGTAGCCAGGTGTGACCAGCCTCTCCAGGTCATTCAGGTAACTCGCAGAGAGAAGGAGAGAGCAGGCTAGTCAATTTTAAGAAACCAGAAGCACATACAGACCAACCCGCTGTGCTCGAGAATAATGTAAGAAGAATTTTGCTTTCTATAAACGAACAGTACAGTCCTGAGTGGGTTAACTGTACTATTGAAATACCAATCAAGATTTATGATGTTGAAAAAACAGTATAGCAATGTACACCAAGTTACTGAGCTTGGGGAGTTCAAGCTGTACAGATGGTCTGTAAGGTCTGAAACATACTATCCAGCAGAGTCATTGAGCTGGTATTCAGAAGCCCGATCAAAGCATGCCTGGATCCCTGAGTCTTTCCAGAGGCGCTGGATGATATCGGACATTTCCTTTGGCATAGTGCCCTCCTCGATGGTGTCGGCCAGATGCATCAGCTTACGGGCATCATCCTATAGACAAGATGCACAGAGAGACACTGTCACACATAGGCAGGATTCTTTGACACCAAATGCCAAAAAACAGACCAATGAGGTCCTGCATTAAAACTTTCCAGTAGCAAACAAAAGCAGTGCCAATTGAGGCACATTGTATTTGTATGAATTTGCACTGGAAGATGCGAGTGGTCTATTTCAGGATTATTTGATGGCTCAAGTTGGAAAAGAAACAACTAAAAAGCCCATCTCACACTGTACCTGTCTACCTGAGTCCCCGTAGCTTATATTGAGGGTATTCATTGCTTTCACAATGGCCATGATTGACTGCAAAGTATTGCTGTAGATAATAACAATGAACTCCAAGCATTCTTCAAGCGAGTAACCATCTTTGTGGATAATTCTGTAAGGAAAACAGAGGGTGTCACTGTTGTTCATCTCAGGTTCCAGTTTCAATTGTACACAGATTGAAGTAAATGTGGCACATTTGAGTGATGACAAGATAAGTACGATATGATTTGTAATAGATGCAGTTTGATCTTGTTTTCTTTATAGTCAGTAACCATATCATACAACTGGCAAGCTACTTTCGTTAAGCAGGTGTGAGCCTGGCCAGTGTCTGGATGAGAGACCTGCTAGGAAAGCTAAGAGGTGTTAGTGGGACCAGTAGGTAACGCTCAACCTGTGGACTGTATGGATCCTATGGATCCTAATGCCCCAGTATAGTGACAGGAACACTATACTGTATAAAAGGTGCTGTCTTTCAGATGAGACGTAAAGCTCACATTAAAAATCCCAGGGCATTTCTCAAAAAAGAGCAAGGATGTTAACCCCAGTATCCTGGCCAAATTTCCACTTGGCTTTTACAAATCATGACCAATAATCCTAATAACTGGCTTCATCACTCTGTACTCCATTGCATCATTCAGGTGGGTGCTACACATTGGTGGTGGTGGAGGGGTGTACCCATGACCTGTAAATATGTTTTAGTGGAGTGTCCAGAAATACAGTAAGTGTAATTTCTCATAAGTGTAAGAAACTATTAATATATTTGAATTTTTGCTAAATTAATAAAAGGAATTAAAAGTTATGAAACGTACATGTTTGAAGGAAATCTGAGGCCAGTTTAATGGAATCTGAATTTCAAGAGAGGAGCACATTCTCAATGGTACAATATAATAGTGTTGCATTTTTTTTTTGTTTTAGAGCTTAATAATGTAGTAGTAGTCATGTAATTTCACGTCATGTAACACCATCTACACGGTTCTAATGACTTGTGCAGTCTCATGAGTGTTTGTTACATCTAGGCAACATGAATAATCTCTAGGTTTCATTTTACATTCTCTGCTTCACAAAATAATTTTGGATGGAAAAATACTGGGATTTCATTGAGATGAGGTCCACTGTACCATGAAAGCTGATTTAATTAAAACATTACAGCTGAAAATGTGATTTCTGCTCCTGCCATGATCAGTGTTTTTTTACATTGAGAGACAACAAAGTACACTCACTTCATCTGCTTGACAATGGTGCTCTTCCCAGACTCACCAGCACCTGTAAGAAAACCACAGGGGTCAGAGGTAAGGGTGACATGGTAGTGATTAGCATTGCTGTCTAGCCCCTCTGGGGTCCTGGGTTCTCCCTGTGTTTACACGATTTTCTCGGGGTGGTCCGGTTTCCTTTCACACGATGCAAAGACATACTGCACTGATAGGTTAATTGGCTTTGGAAAAAACTGGCCCTGGTGTACTGTTAAGTGTGTGCGTTTATGTCTGTGTATACCCTGCTATAGAACAGCGTTCAAGGTGGGTTTCTTTCACCTTGCAACCCGTTGCAACCCGGGATAGGCTCCGACTTCCCCGAGACACCGTACTGAATAAAGCGGTTAAAAATGGATGCTTAGGTCAGATGAGATGCAATGTACTTTCTGCTGGGAGAAAATGTGAAATCTCTTGGTGTTTACAGAACAACCACGTTCCTTCTTTTTGAAATAATAATTATTAAAATATTTTTTCTATTAGGTTTAAATAAACATGCCTTGGCTTACATTTCTGTAAAATACATTATTTTGTGTAATAAAATACACTTATTGTGTTCAAAAGAAAGCCGGTCCTCTACAGCACCTCACATAACCAGTGGTGGTTTTAAACGATGCTTTCAAGTGCTTTTTTCTTTGTGATATTTATTTTATTGCCTTCTTTGTATTTATTTGTGAATGCATGCTATCGAAGCTATTACTAATACAGTATATGTTCAGTTGCAAATACGAAAATACGTTGTAAAACAGCGAATGCATAGCTAGCAGACCGTCAGGTTAGTGATTGAAAAATGTAGCCGGGCAGTTAGCTGAAAGACTTAAGACATAAACTGATATTGATTAATTGCATGATTAGTTCGTTTACAATAACAGGTAATGTCAAATTATTATATAAAATGGCCACAAGGTGGAGCTATTATTTTATTTGTACTATAAATATCGTTTACGTCTGCGAAGCAAAACTGACTCATTTTTTCTTAATATGTTTGGAAGCAAGCAGAAACACTGACAGATTTTGTAATGATTTCGTCAACCTTTTTTATTGGGAAAGAAATATGCAGTAATTTGCAGGTACTTGTATTGTTTTACTGTATTATTTTTAATTGTTTTGTATTTAGAAATTCACTTGGGGTTTCAGTAGTTTATCTGCTTATGGTTTCGGGGGGAGCTTTTTGCATTTTCATTAGAAAACTTAATTGCTTCTAACTAATTGCTTTTTTGCAAATTGGATTTCCAATTAATACGGCAGGAGAAGCTCGTGGCAGAACAAACTTTTCTTGTTGCTTTGGGGGTTTGCATAACGTACTACTCATTTCTTAACTTTTTATTAATATAAAGTCTTATTTGATTTTCATTTCACATGCACAGATTTTCCTGGGGCAATGTACATGTTTTTGGTTCTACGGTTTCCTTGTTTTTTCTCTAGTGTTTACAAATGATGATATTTACATACCGATACTTTAGGTGATATATCTGTCTTGTTAAAAGCCTGGTTAAAAGAACATTGTTCATGGATTTTCCTCCGGCGGTAAAATGTATTGGGTCATTATTGTTTTCATTTAAAAACAAAGCCATACGTATTTCCTAATCCAACGGCCTGTTTATTAACAATGAACATTAGAAAAGCCAATATAAATAAGCAAAACATTAAACCGCTAGAGTCTGTGAGTATTATGTCATCCACTCAAAATGAGATGAAACAAGAGGGCTGGAGTTAGATTGATGGAGTCCTTAATTAATATGTCTCCTCTCCACATTCATACACAAGAGCTCTAAATGTTATAGTAGCGGGCATGTTTTCTTTGTAAAGGCATTTCACCCCCAAACATGGTGGTAGTACTCAAAAAACGTTGTAAGAAATAGTGGGTGTGGACGTTAATTTTCGTTATTTGTGTTTTTGCTGATGGACAAATAAAGCTTCCATCTGTTTGTGTAGCATCAACCAAATATTTTAAAGTTGAATTTTAAAAATTGAGGATTTTTGTTAAAATTACTTGCTGCATTTGGAGTCGGTGAAACTTTTTTTTTTTTTTACAGTCTAGAGGAATAATACCAGAATAAGTAGCTGTAATAGGAGCTCAGCATCTTTAGGAAGATATTATACTCTCAGTGGGTGGGCAAAACAACTTAGGCACTAATAATCCAAATAAAGTTTTTTTTTATTTGGTTCTTACTGTTAATTGAAAGGAACGAACTCTCAACCCGTCTCTGGTCTGGTTTCTTTTGGTTCATAAAAGAAAGAGCACAATGCCACTTTTCAGTAGTGTCTAGTCAAGACTAATCAAGAAGCACGCATTGGGCCATATGAAGTGAGGGGCTTTTCCAGTCTCTTGTTTTTATTATGTGGTGTCTGTGCATTGCCGGTTCACAGGCCACATGAACAAAGCCCACACAAGCGATAATCATGCTTACCAACTGTGATGCTCAAATCTGAATTTCCACCCTGTCTGAAGTTTAAGGACTGATATTTTCAGCTTGTGTCGGGAAGGTTAGTCAATGCTAGGTGCATGAATATGTGCTCTTAAGTAAAACTCACAGAGTTTTTGCATTATCTGTGATGTTGCATGCATTAAGTATCGTACATATGTTAATGTAAGCTAATAGTAGCCTATTCGTGAACAAAAAGAAATATTCAAATGATTGTGGAAAGAAATATTGGCAATTCTACAAAACAGGATTTTGAATTTGCAGTCCAGCATAGAGGACCTGTTGTAAAAAAGGTGTTTTGTTTTCACACCATTTGCAACTAAAGAATGACAGTGTCTGTATTCATTTGTATCAAAGTAAGTCTTATAGTTAGCGTGAATTCACACAAAAACATTTCTTAAATATGGAAGGCCTCAGCCAGTTTCCCAACACAGAGTGTGTCTGTGTACTTTGCATTTGGGACATTTATAAATAACAAGAGAGTATAGTGTCCAGATAGAGGAGCTACAGGTTTTTAAACATGTACCGCTAGCAGGGATTGTGATAAGGGCATGCCAAGCTAATTATTTCTGGACTAAGCCTTTTAAGTCAGGACACAGATAGAGTGCGTCATGGGGAGCTCTTTAAGCACTCTTTTATCTCTTGATCCATATTTGCATGGGATACTTCGAGTCCCTAAATATCGATCACAGCAGAAGCTATTTCTCGCCTTAATAGGTTTTTTACAACCTGTGGCTATCCCCACGGCTGGTCTGGATATGATACAGTAGCCCAACAAAAATAAAGCCCTCATGCTACAGATGATTGCTGCCTCCTCTAGTTGTGTTCTGAATAGACTGCTCTGAATATCTGTATAAAAATGAAACTCTTGTCATTTTGACTTCTCTACAGAAATCTGAAGCCTCAGTTACATTGTACCAGTCTGGAGGATAAACACATAGCAGGAAGGCCCAACCTGGGCACTGAATACTGTATGTCCAGGTATGTGTTGAATCCTTACTTAACATTCTGATCCTGACCTAAGAAGAATTACAAAGAGCTTTTTTTTAAGTAACCCACTTATGTCTTTCAATGTACTGTAACAATGGTTTAATATCGGGAGCGTGTCTTTCAGAGTGAACACTACTACAAAAAATAAACTAAAATTATCAACTTATTTCACACATTATGAAATGGAAAGAATGTCTTGTTTCTCCAATAAAAGTGTACTAGCTCAAAGTGTACTGTAGAATACAGAATACAATAGTACAGAATGATTAACAGTAAAATGACATATGTAACAATATACAGCATACAGTATTATCCTTTCTACGTATAAGAAGAAGTGACCATAACATCAGCTGTGTAGTTCAAAGAAATTTTAGGAGTAAGACTGTAGTTCCTGCCGATTCCTAGGCATAAATACGGGCCTCTAGTCCAATGTAGTGTTTTTGGTGTTAATACATCTCTTCCACCCTAATTCACCACCACTAAGCCAGCAAAGAGAGAACAATGACAAAAACCACCATAGGAAAAGCCTAAGAACAGCTGAGCTTCCAGCCTCAAGAAAGGTTTTAGGGTGTATTTTACTTAATCAAGTGTTTCTGAGGTGTTACACAGGAGTACTGGGTTTGTCTGGTCAAGGCTTCTGCATATGATTTTGTTGTAATCACATAGTGATATACAGTAAATAAAGGATTTTTTTACATTCCTTAGAACATTATTTAACAATATCTGTTAGGATATATTTGAGTTTTAAATGTTGTTAGTGAATGCATTTAAATAATTTGAGCACATAATTGGGATTAAAGCATTGTTTGGCTTGAGGCCGTTAGATGGTGTCAGGGTTCCTCATTTTACAGTGATTTATTGTACATCTTTACCCAAATGCGGTGGACATGGTTTAAAAGCCTGTAGGGTTCATGAGATTACTGTAGGTTGATACATTTGGAGAATGTAGGACTTGTTGTTTCCAAGTAGGGGAGTATTGTGACTAGTTCCAAAATGAATCAAACACAAATTCAGAGCTAGAACAGGCCGAAAAGCAGCCACTTACATTTAGATGTAGTGGTAAAAAGGAGTCACTGTAGCTTTAGAACATTGAGGCTACATTTTCTCTGTACCTTTTTAAGGTGTTAGACAGATATTTGCATTTTGCTTTCCAAACTTTTTTGCAAAAAAGAAACGCGTACAACAATAACCTTTGCACTGTATTTTTGCCTTATTTTGTTAAGAAAATTCTGGTCCGAGCAAATGTATACCACATTATCTTTGCTTTTTGAAAACAAAATCATCTGCCACACTGTTGGAGATATGAAAGCAAGATGCTATTGTAAGCCAATTATCTGATTGTAGACAGCAACAAAAATACAGGCAGAACACCACTAGATTTAAATGAGCTTTCTTTCCAAAGAAACCCACCATCACTTATTCTAATCCAAAGGATAGTCAAACAAACTGCAGTTCTGAATGCCACAGAATCCTAGGAAAGGTGTCTCCTGATTTCATGCCCAGGAAAAGATTTGCCCAGTAGATTTTTTTTTGCCTAACTAACTCTTAAGATTAGTGAATTCCACAGAATGCAAGTGAATTCTGTACAACCTTCACCAGTAGTGTAAACCCTCAGAACAAACTCCCTCAAAGCAGAGTCTTATTGGTTTTCCCTCTTGCACTAGATAGGGGAAACAAGAAAGCTTATATTAGTAAACACAGCGCCTTGCCCTGCACAAGTCAGACTTTACCCAGCAGCAGCAGTTTGACAGTCCTGGCATCCTTGTCCGCATCTTCCTTGAGCTTCTTCTCCAGCTCTCTGGAGTGTTTCTCCTCAGCGCTGGCACCTGCTCCCATCCTGGAACCTTTGGGCTTGGTTTTTTGACCGACGAGAATGAAGTTGGGGAGTTTTTCTCAATGAGATCAAAAATGAAATTGGGGGGGAGGGGGGGAGGCCTCAGGTGAGTCCTTGATGGCCGGTTCACCGTCCGAAGCCTTCTCTGGCCTCAGCGACGCAGCTGGGACATCAACTGCCTCTCGCTTGCCTGCAAATGTCGGCGTCTTTTACTTCTTAGACGGATTTCGTGTACCCCTGGAGTCACCTGGTTCTCGGCAGCCAACAGGAGACAAGGACAGGGTAGTGAGGGGTAACTAGGAAAAAGTGAAAGGATGGAGGGGGGAGGTGGGGCAGGAGAATTAGAAAAAGATTTAGGCAGAGTTTGCTTTGCTCAGCTGAAGGTGCAGAATGTGATGCAGTTAAGTCGACTAAACCGCTTACCTTCAATTATATACACACGCATGCTCATTAAGCAGTGCATAGGCAGTGTAACAGTGCAAGGCTTTTAATTGCTCTGTGCACGCTGTAGTTTAGTTTAATGCTTGGATAGGGGAAATCGGACAACCTGATTCATGGAAGATGAGGTGACTTGTGTTATAGAAGCTAATGAACGGTTCAAGCCTTTGATCTCGCACACCTCAAAGGCTATTGCAAAGCCTGTTGAAAGGAATTCAGTCCTTAAACACAATTTTTCTAATATGAAAGTAATCTAGACTGGTGCGGAGTTGGGGCCTGAACTGTAGTAATAAACATTGCAAACTGTGGTGCTTGACATACTGATGGAAAAGTAGACAATTGATAATTGTCCAGAAGGAGTTTAGTCATCTGTAGAGTGGGAAGTAAATGTTATTGAATTGTATTGAAAAGTGCTCTTTTTTTCAGTGTTGGGAATGGCTTAATGAGGAGATATTGAATAATGCATGAAACCCCAGAGTGCCTCATTTTTATGAATCCATAAATTAGGCATTCATTTATAGTGATGGGGAAGGGACACACAGCCCTTGAGTACTGGGGTAATAATGTGATAGATTCAACATACAAAAACACTAGATGTGTGTGAGAGAGAATGGGCTTGACATACAGGTCTCCATCTCAGCCATTTTTGGTGTCATCTCGACCTCACACTTGATACCCATGGTCCTCAGAAACAGGCTGCAATGCTAAGGTCACTGACGATACACTCTGTCAGAACTGCAGGCAGGCCAGTCCTTCTGACAGCAGCCCAAGGTGTAGAAAAGGGATATCCACTTGTCTCTTTACATGTTTTCATTCAATACTAGTACTGTATGTGATTAGTCAAAAATAATCTTGCTAAATCTGTGTGAAGTGTCTTAAGATTTAAACAGTGGCTGTATGAACAGTTTTCAGGACACACAAACCTGTGGTGACAGCTGTGCCATTCTTCACAAATATTAAAAAGGTCTCCATTTTAAGAGCATGGTGTTTTTCGTGTCATTGTATTGAAATGGCAATGAATTTAGAATCCCCCTTTCCCTCCTTGTGTTATCACTGCAGATTGAAGGAGTTTTTCAAGGCTTACTCCCAAATCTCTTGAGGTGCTTAAAGGGGAGCTTTAATGTCTCACCTGCCAGCTCTTATTGACCTCAATCTGTGGATGCAAAAAGAGCTTTATCCACAGCCTGTCCTAGAGGGTCTCATTGAAGAGACCTTCATCCTCCAGCTGAACTGACTATAGCAGGATATTTATATATATTTATATATAGTTCAGGTGGGTACCTGAAGGAGGCTCCACGGCCGAAACGTTGTGTTCTCTTTCTTCTTTTTTTCAGCATGGAATAAACCTATTACTTGTTCCTTATTTATATATAGTATATCTATTAAGAATAAGAGAAGTCCATAGTGACTTTTGCTATCCTTAATAGTTCTTGTGCGTACTACAGTTTTATTATGTGCAATATTGAGGCAGAAATGTGAACACCTTGTTGACAATTTAGTGATTGATTTCCCTGCATGTAGTGCTAGCAGTCTTGCAGTGAAAAGTGCTGTCAGCTCTCAGGTTTTTACCTAGTGGCATCACCTTTTGTCAGACATTTGATATTAATATGAGAAAATGACTGCAGAATATGGTGCGAACTATCCGTCACAGGAGAATTGGGATAGAATTAGTGTGAAACATTTTGGAAAGGGTGAACAAATGTGAGAGTGCTGTGAACTGAATGATACCACTGTCTGCTGTCTGAGAGAACCATGTGACCAGAATTGATATGCAAGGACAGCCGACAAAGGTTGCTCTTCCTATTATCCACAAAGGTTTGCAAAGTGCCCTAGGGCAGATGTTCAGTAATTAACACAGACTCTTGCAAATATGCCAGGCTTCTCTTTTGGTTCCTTTATGGCTCCCAGCACTGGTGTCATTCAGCACCATGACAACACACACCCTCACAGGGAGCAGTGCATGGAGGAGCTTGCTGTTGAAAGGTGACTAGACCAGTCAACCTATTGTATGAGCTGTTGTGGTGGGGGGGGGTCTCATCGTTGTGTCTTCATCTAGTAAGTTCACCAAAGTTGAACCTTTGGTCGTGGTGCAGGAATGGTTTAAGAACCAACCAATTTTATTTTGCTACATACTTCTTTCTTTTTTCAACATTTTCATTCAAAAAAGACGTCCCCACCTGTGAAGCATATTTGGTAGAAATTTAACTTTCATAAATTCCCTTAATGATTAACTGTCGTAGTGGAATAACTTTAATACCTATAGTGCCTCTGCCTTTTATCATTAATTTGTTGTCATTAGTTCTAGCTGTTTGCTAGAACAAAAGGTAGTCCAGTGCTTTTGTGAGATAAAAGAAGGTGATATTGAAAGGTTTACATTGTTCTGGAGGTTTTTCTATGCAGTAAAGGTTGTGTTAGTGAGGTGGTTAAGGAGGCTTCTTGTGATTATTATACTTGTGACAGACAGCGAGGCAATTCTTCCATCATTTCTACAGTTTTTCATTTACCTGTGCGCATAAAAACATTCCATTCTTAATCTGAAACTGAATTCTTAAATCAGTTAACATGATGTTATTCACCAAATTTACATTTATAATGTTTCAAATGTGTATCCTGCTTTGCGGCCGTAGTTTGCTGAGATAGGCCTCAGCTCCCCTGTGACCTTGTATTGGAGGAAGTGGTTAGAAAATGGATGGATACGTCACATGCTCAAAATGTAGTTGGCATTCACTGTAGTTGACACATTAAGACTTAGGAATTTTTCAACAGCTGTGTTCCTCGGTAAACCATGGTACCATTGAATAAAATCACAGTGCAACCTTCATGCTGCTTTAACCAGTCCAGTCCAAATCCGTTATGTATCATCCTGAGAAAGATACAATACAGAATGTGTTGTGTTCTGTTCCTTCAGTTGTATACTGTTCAGTCAAACATCTTCATCATCCAGGGCAGATGGTTAGTGGCTAAGTGGCTCGTGACAATTTCAGATTGCAGCTGTCGACACTCTTCAAAAAAATCCTTCAGACCGCTTTTCAGAATCAGACATTTCAAGATTGACGGGTATCAGCAACGTCTCACAACTCCCTCAGCATGCGCTCAATATTGAAATGTAACTTGGGTGATGTTGGACTAATGAATTTAGATATGAAAATGGCTGCACTGAAATATCAAAATGCAGCCACAAAGTTCTACTGGTTTGGTTACAAATTAAACCTGTTAAGCCCAAACTTTGTATTGATTATCTTGGGGCAAATAGAATTATAATGCTTAAAAATCATACTGCTGTGTAAAGTAACTGTTGTAATAAAAGATGTATCAGGTATCATCCATGCACAATAGTATTCAAATTCTGCAATGAAATTAATCAACATTTTTCCTAAACTGCTGTTTTATCCTTGGTAAAATGTGATTCATATTGCTTTTCTATATTTTTTTATCTTCCCTGATTACACTAGTCATGCTGATAAGTTTGATAACGAATACTGTAATTATATCATAATAAATACTGTGAGTCTTTGCTGCCATCTTGTGATTATTAAACTGAACATAGCAGTCTTTTTTTTAGACAACTACATTTCTAAATTGGTCATCATCTTTGAAAAGGATACTGTAACTCTTTATAGACTTACAGTGGAAATACTACTTCCAGCAGCAACAGTATTGGAATTTTCTTTTTTATTCTAACTAAAATCAGTGTAGGTAAATATTACCAATAGTTATACACTTGTACAATGCTGCAGTTTAATTTTGAAAAGCGATAGGAAAATAGGAGGCAACTTTTCTGGCTTATGGGGATGGGGGATTCGTCTTAAAATGTATTACCATCTAAACAATCATTTCTTCTTGCATCTTAAAATAACAATAAATCATTTTTTTACTACTAATGAAGACATCATTAATAGTAAGAACACTATCCTTTGTGTTATATGCTCCTCTTTAGTTATTTATGGGGTCACAATGTCTAGTGAAACAGAATCTCCGTCAGTATGAAGTACTGAAATGCATTTCATTCTAATTAGCACAACCTATTAATTATAATTATTGTCTAATGTTTTGCATGTCCCCACTAAGCATTCATGTCTCAGTAAAGAGTTTGCAAAACATTTGAATTCTGAGGCTGAAGCTTATTTGATTTGAATTATTTTGAAGATCCCAAGAACACGATGAAGCAAGCAAAAACTGAGACCACATTTTCAGTAGTCATTTAATTTTGTGCTATTTGTTAACAAATCATTGGTTTATTTTTAAATGTACTTTTCTGCTAGTCTCCTTTTCAACTTGCTGCTTTAGAACTAACTATGCCATGTGTACCTGAGTTCAATGGCTGATAAACATTTCTGTCCTTGGAAACCTAAATTAAGAGTACTAGCAGCAAATGTAAAAGTAACTAAAGTGAATTTCATTAAAATTTGTATCCAATTGCTCATCTGTTCTTTGTATTCAGTTTTTTATCTTAAATAACACAGGCTGCTAACATGTCATATCTTGTTTAAATTTCATGAAAAACCCTAGTAAACTCAGTTTGCCTGCCCGTGCTCATTGTGAGAAGTACTTTGATCTCCAATTGACCAAGGTATGTACAGTAGTATCCAGTTTTGAATAATATAGCATTCAGGAATTATTTTACTGGAAACAGTTTCTGTATTCTTATGCATTTCACAATAGCATTCAAAAAAGTTTATTTTTGTAATAACTTGTAAGGACAGTCTCTTAGGCTTGTGTTAAAGGGAACACTTTTCTCTTACACTGTATCGTGAGTGTTGTCTAGTGGACAGTGTTCTCTATCAGTTGGAATCCAGTTATATGGGTGACAAAGATCGTCATTTCCATCAAATCATGTTCAAAGTTTCTTGCTGCAGTTGTCTCATTTGTAGTCATGGGCAGTTAAGGTACAACAGTGTTGGTAGAGTTTGCATTGAAACAGGATAAGGACATCTGGCCTAGATGTTGCTATTTTGTTGATCACGAGGGTGACAATTGAGGATCTCAGATAAAAAACTAAACAGAGATGTTACTTTTGACAGGTATTCAGTTATGCGTGCATATTCCGTCCATCTGTATCTTTAGTGATGTTGAGTGCCACTCACTTTCTTGTACCACTAGAATGGTTTATTTCTGCGAGTTCAGTCGTAATATCATCATAGAAAGATACATGTAGCAAACATGATAACAGTTGCATTTCAGTTCTTCCAGCTGGACCTATCACTTTCCTGTAGGTGCCAATATATACTATACTAAGAACTGTCCTGCCCCTGTTGTGGATGGATTACAGCAAGACTGCACTGGTACAGGCTTGCAGTTGTATAGCTGGAAAAAAACATTCTGATTGACGAGACTGCTTGCCTGGTAGTATGTGATATTCCCTCACCCCAACCCAAAGTAGGCTTCTGTAAATCAGGGTCTATAGAGAGTGTCGTGTTTACAACTCCAATGGTGCAAATGAAAGGCACAAATTTAATGCACAAATCAAATGAAATGTAAAAGTAGTTTACATTTTTTTTATAAAATATAGAGCTTTAATTTATTAGTGAGCAACATTAACAATGAGGGAGGGGGGAATCATTCACACAGAGCCATTACAGTAACATCACCTGTGCATTTTGTCTTATTCTGTAACAGAATAGTCTTTTTTAATAAACTAACTGCAAAAAAACGTAAAACAGATAAAACGCTATTTTTAAAATACCAAAAAAATGTACAACTTTGTGTTGTAGCTCTGTATTTTACTTAAGTAGTAAAAGTGAGAGCAGTCAGGTGCAATAGTTTCTACTGCTAACTCACTGTAGAACTGAAAAAGCAAAAAAAAAACGTTGCAATGTGCTTTACCTAGTGTAGTTTCTTAGGGTCTATAGGTCAGGATTGATGTTGGCATGTCACATTTCATTATTCACAATGAAAGCTGAAGTTCAATGTGTCCTCTTATTTCATTAACAGAGTACAGATTTTTTTCTTACATCTACAGTATATACAGTACATATAAATTTCATGCACACAATGAAAAGCCAGCTTCCCAACATTTTGGTATGTGAACACTTTTTTTTAAAAAGTCCTGGTATGCATAAAGTATATATATATACACACACATATATACATATGTAAAGCCAATATGTTGGTCATCTGTTGATGGGAAAAACAGGTCTTTTCATGAATAAAAATAATCAATATTGCTGATTTGAAGGGTTCAACGCTTCCCCAGCTCTATTCCCGGCTCAGCTGTTCTTGTATTTTTGCACGAATAACAAACATTTTATAACTCACTCCACCTTTCCTATATTGTCAGAGATTGACTTCTTCCATCATTTATCCTCCTCCGGTCTTGAAATAGTTTTCTGAGGGTTTGAACGCTGTCCTCTGTTCAATTGGTGCTACTCCCTCATACATAAAATGGCCCAAATCAAGTCTAGTCCACTGAGTTTCTCCTAGATCTGGAGGAAATATTAATATCATTGAGAAATATCGATGGTCTTTAAGGGCAATATGCACAATTCAGGAATTTATAAAACTCGTGAGATCAGGAAAGAGGTTAAGTAACAACAGGCAAAACCAAATCTGAAGAGCTGGAGGTATAAAAATAATATTTTAATTCTAATTTGTACACTTAAACAGGTCAAAGTGAAACAAAAATAAAATAATCAGAAGGATTAAACCCAGAATTGAGTCCACTCTAAACGGTCCTCTAAGCTTCTTTCTTATAAAAAGAAAACAGCCTAAATAACAACAGATGAAGACGCAACTAAAGATTTAGAGCTTAGAAATTGCATAAAACCATGATAGTGATTTTTTTTTTATCAAGCCTTAAGTTCTCACAGTGTTCCCATGTTTGGAATTATTCCAAAAGAAAATACTAACACCTCAAAGACAAACAGTCATTCACATACATCAGATAAATTTCTTTTTTCTTCCATTTTTCTACAAATATATTGAAGACCAAATTTGATTAAAGCGTTTTGCCTTAACAAAAACCATGAAGGGTGAGAGGGATAAAGTGGGAACTCTAAAAATTCAGAATGCTATTTATTATGAAAAGGCAGCCCTAGCTAATTTTGTTCTTGGTAATAATGTACTTGAGCTTGTAATTAATAGTCAATGAAATAGTTTGTTAGGAGAAGTTCCATCTTTCTCTGAGAGACACAAATCTGCCTCCTGTTTCTACCAAAACCAGCTCTACTTTAATTAGTTCTGGTTTTTGATACAGCAGACACTGCACAACATTAGTGAAAATTCAAACTTTGCATTCCATTTTTCTTTAAATGTTTCTTGAGTCAACTGTATAACATATGTGAAAAAAGCTTAGAAAAGACCAATCTCCCCCCCCCCCCAGTCATTCCCCTCCCCTTTTATTACCAAGCAAAAATCCCATCCACAGTGTTTCAAAACCTCACTCAAGGTTTTGACAGAAAGCTCCGTCCATGTATTTGGATGCAACAAAATTATATATTTTGAAACACATAGCAACACAATGTTATTAAAATATTTTTGTGAATGTGCCCAAGTACCAGATATTAATAAGGTGGTGGCGGTGGGGGGGGGTTTGAGTGAAAAAGTACAACATAGTGTAACATCCATTTGTCACAAAATGTACTTTGGTTCAATTAAAATTGTTAAAATCTATTTAAACTGACATACTGGTGCTGACCTCTACAGTAGCACTAAATAAATAACCAGCTGTGGCATTGATGCTGGTTATATACAGCTTTGATGGACTTACTTAACCAGTGCACAAATATCTGACTCTTAAGCTGTGAAATACTGGATATTTCCACACTTGCACCACTGAATCCCAAGGCACAGCATCAGGACACAGCTCTGCCTATTATAGCTTCCTCTCTTCCCAAAAGTTGCTCACCCAGGCATTATAAGATGTTCTCCCAATTACTCATGACCCTGTGGATTTCTGGAGCGATGTGTCCATCACAGCTTTCAGGGAGTTCCTGGTTCCATGTCATCTGGATAAACCCTTCCATCTCTGTCCCACTCCTATTCTCCTTATGAACAAATTCATTTCATCTCAATTTACAAAACCCTTTTATCGATACATTTGAGACAGGCTTACTATTCATTTTACACTTTCAACTTGACATAGAATTATTTCTTGTTCTTTTAAAGAGGGTAAAACGCAAGTTTTTATAATAAAATTAATAATAACATCAATAATAACAATAATATTTGCCCAGAAGGTACCTATACACAAAGAGCCTCTCCTATATTTAAGTACAAAGAAATCCACAGAATCATACTATGTACAACCTACAATAAATACTGTTTCATAATTTTTAAATTGTTAAAAGGAACAATTCTTTTAAGATTTAGCTCTCACGTCTGAGTCTTTGACTTTTGGGGGCTTGGCCTCCTCATGTTTGCTGCGTTGGGATCTGATCATCGTGATTCCGGCGATTGCGTGGTTTCTTCTGCTCCTTGAGTTCTTTCCCTCTCATAGCTCCCAACAGAGGGTCTTTGGGACTGGAGCTGCCCAGCTGCCAGTAGTCCTCACAGTACTGGTTGATGAGCCCCATCTCAGGTTGGCTCAGGATCTGGAGGAGGTCTTTGTACTGCCCTGCACTGGGGGTCCAGGGACTGGACTGTAATGGAGCAGCCACGGGGGCTCCAGATTCGGCCAGCACACTGTTGACCGCTCTGCTGGAAAGCACGATGAGCTGCAGGCGCACCAGCATGTGTTTGAAGTTCTTTTCGGTGGCCGTGCACTGGTACATGCCTGCGTCTGAAGGCTGCAGGGAGCGCAGGAGGAGGCCCTGTTCCGTCTTGAGGATACGTCCATCGGAGCGCATCTGGAAGGAGGGGAAGAACGTGAGAAGCAGCAACAACCCAGACCTCAGAAGCAGAACGCGAGAGGTAATTTCTTTAATGTCACTTTGTAGTCGCCAAGTTGGACTGGTTAAGAAATGGCTGTCACAGGAGGCTTTGCTTTTCTTCGGATGGATTTAGAAAAGTCCTCATGGGTTAAGAAATGGAAATTGAAGTGGTACCGTTACTCAGTTCACTTTTATCAGAAATAATGGGAAAACTTTTAGGAAGTGAAAGGGAAATAGCTAATGAATTAAAATTAGATTGAGTGTACATTTCCTTACATGTACTCACAAAAAAACGTTTTCATTGCGTTTCTATTTGATTAGGTTTAATATCATTTTTAAAATTCAGTTAGGTTAACTAGTATAAATTGCAAAATCGTCATGGTTTCAAAAATGAAACACTGAGACTATAGCAGCTCATTGTGAAAAAGATTTAAGGTACATTTTCCTCATTTAGAATATACATACCCTACATAAAGTGAACATGCTATTATGTTAAAATGACACAATTATCTATGAGCACCTCATTAAGACTACTGTGTATCAGTACAGCTCCCATGTCACAAACAAGATTAAATATTCAAAATTCTCAAAAGCCTTGCCAAAATCAATCCATTGGATTTTGTTCAAGAATGAAACATGAACCAGAGGTCACAAATGAAACCTTTGGAGAAGTTCTTTTGAAACCGAAAAAGAGAAACTTTTCACCCAAAAGGTTGTGGAAAATCATGGCTTCTTTTAATAAATGGCTGAATGAGAGGCTTGAATCAATTAGCTAATTGCAGTCAACCAAGCTAGATGGGCCCAATGTCCTCCTCTCATTTGTAACAATAGTTCTATTTTCATCTTCTTCTTATCCCTAAAAATATGAGCCCTTCATGTCCTGTGCCGTGGGACAGATTTTGCGAAGGGATGTTTCAAGTCGGGGATGAAAGCAGAACAGAGGAAATATTAAGGAAATGACGGAGCATATGTACATGCATCTTCAAGCAATCCAAAACGTAAATGTGAGTAAACTTCCTTTTTTGTGCTGGAACGGTGACCACCTGTTTAAGTCTTCACAGCCCACAGCAGAACTGTTACAGGCACGTTTTTTGTCCATGGATTGCCTCATTGTTCTGACCAAAACACTCCACATTAGAGGCCTTGCTCCCAGTGCGTGCGTTGTTATTTTTGGACACGAGCGGAAAGTAAGTGCTTGGTCATGGCAGCCCAAGGTTCAGCAATCAGGGATGGCCATCAGGTTTGTTCTCAGGAAATGTGCCTGGAAATGAGCGGCTTTCATAAATGACATCAGACGGTTATTGGAGCGGAACGGTCCTCCCATAAGGCGCAGCACTCCCTTGTTTTCTTGACCACCAAAGATGGTACAGGCACAGGTCCTTTGTTCTTTTTGAGAAAAAGGATATTTTCTTTACCTCCTTTGGGCAATGACTAAGCCACTGTGTAGCTCACGCCAAGGTCTCCTCCTGGCAGTTAACTGTGCCAGTCAGTTCAAAGCCCAGCTTCCTCATTCAGCTGGGAACAGTACTGCTTCCCTCCCTGTTCCCCACCCAAAGTATAATATCCTAGTGAACCTACTCAAGTGTTCCATGTTAATATGACTAATAATATTTCTTAATCTTTTTTTTATCAACAGTGTTGATATAATACATTACATACAACTCAAGGACTTGTTGAAATCCTTTGTTTCCTCTACCTGATGAAGAATACACACTATGGTACAACGAGGAACTGAAGTACATACTGAAAATGAGGTACATTCTCATATGTGCGGCTATGAAAATGTAGGCCAATAAGAGTGGTAGCATTTATAGTTGAAGGGAACAGTCAGGAGAAATGTGCAAGGCAAAGGATACATTGCTAACCTTTTTTAAAAAATTACAATGCGTAAAGTCTCTACAAAAACACTGTAGACCAATCTATCAATCCTTAAGTCTAGAATTTTCCTTCTTTCATTCCATTTTCTTTAGTGAGCGGGAGAGTTCCTTAACATACGTCATTCTAAGGACCTCGGTGCAAGTTATCTATTGTCTGCTGTGTTAAGACTGTTAAGTGCTGAGTGATGTTACCATGCCTTTATTTCTTTGATTAATACTGACCTTCAGCATACAGTTCACAAAGTTCATGCAGATATTGATACCAACAAAAAATGAAATGACACCTTTTTTAATGTCAAGAAGTATCCTTGCAAGAGAGGTCTCTCTCTCATCATGCCGGACTTCAGTCATAAAGAGATACAGTATGCTTACCTCTTTCTTTCTCTCACTGTTCTCCTTCTGCAGATGCCACTTGACAGAAGCATGAGGAGACCTCGCCTGGCACTCCAGAAAAGTGCTACTGCCCTCCACTCCATATTGCACCATCTCCAGTGTGCTCTTATTGGCTGAAACACCCACAACATAGATTTCAGACACATTCAGCCTCAAGATCAATTTAGTCCATGTACTAAGACTATGCGCATCTTTCGGATCAGACATTCAACCGAGGTCCTGACTCTTAGTGGTCATTAAAGATCCCCGGGCATTTCTCGATAAGAGTAGGGAGTTATCCCGGTGTCCAGGCCAAATTTCCCCTCTCAGCCTTAATCTCCAAATTGTCCCCATGTATGATTGGCTTGTACTTGGCCTGCGATGGACTGGTGCCCTGTCCAAGGTGTACCCTGTCTTGTGCTTTTGTTTGCCGGATAGGCTCCAGCTTCCCGCGAAATCGTATGGTATAAAGCGGTTTGGCAAATGACATGACTAAGACTATCCATATTTTTTATATTTTATTATAATTGCTTTCTGATTGGTGTAATGTGTAATGGGGCTCATTTAAAAAAAACACAGTGTGTGGAAAACAAGGTTCACTGAAGAGTTTCTTCAGGAAAAAGTTTAATAGTTATTTGATTTTGCAATCACAAAACAATGATTAATATAAATGCAAATGAGAACCCAGGCTGAGCATTTCTGAAGATTAACATTTACAATTATTTTACCACACAAATTTGTGTGATTTTGTATTCCAATTCTCATAGGCAAAAATTTCAGTAAAAAGCACAAAAGACAAAGTGTGTTACAGGCGATTCTTAACACATGGACTGTTGCAAATGTAGTTTAGAACTGATGGTAGAGAAGGCTAACCTATAGACTTGGTTTAAGAAGACTATAGAGAAATCTGCTACATACCATTGGAGTTATAACCCCTGCACTGCCGGATGGGGTTTCCGTATTTCACATCTTGCCTTCTGCTGCGCCTGGAGGAGTTAAAGCAGTAAATATTTCTGAGAAATAAAGTAATGGTAAAAAAATCATTTGGAAGGGGGTCCCCATAAGAGGTAATGTTGGGGTTACATAATATAATGACAATGTCTGTGTCTAGTTCTGTTTACTTTGACTAAAACCATCTTGTATCTGTGTAGCTGAAATTTCAGGACACCTTCTCTCACCACTTGTGCTCTCAGTTCCTCTCAGAGAAGTAAAAAATCCTCTGGAGGTGGCTATACTGCCCCAGCAAGAGTGTAACACATACAGCCAAAATGTCAAGTGCTATAATGTCATGCACATGTTGCAATTGAGAATCACAGCACATGTTTTTTCCTCTAAACATAAAAACTCCAACACTGACTATGCAAGTATGACAATGGTTTGGCACAGGCATACAACTTAATTTTACTAGACAGCTCAGGCCTCAACCCAACCTCTCCAGAGAAAACCAAGAACATACTGTAAGACAGGCATCCAGAAAGGCAGAACTCTGGCTTTATTCTTTCTTGTTTACCTTTTGAGCGATGCTGAATACCGTGAGCAGGATTTCCCATCCCAGGCGCAATAGGGATCCCGGGCCAGGCAGCAGTCGGCACAGGCTTCCCCGTAGACATCACACCGATGAAGGGCCAGGTGAGTTACCCCCGCTGTAGAAGAAACGTACAGCTGTTGCTGTAATAAAAGAACACAGATGCATTAGTAAAGGCAAAAGAACCCCTATATCTTGTGCTTTATTTTGGGAAGCTCCAAATTTCAGTTTAATGACTGCTGTTGTTGTGTAACTGCCCTCGTGTTCATTATCAACTCATATTTGGAAGCATTATTATAATGCGTCTGAGTGTTTGTGCAGCCACTCTATAGGTACAGTAGTTTGTTCTTTCCCTTTGTACAGTACTTGCATTGTCACAGCTGACGTTTATACACTCTATGTTCCATTCTTTGACCTTAAATATGAAATTTAGTTTTACAGTAAAAGGGGAAACTTATTTTCCCCTCTACATTTGCTTACAATAGTTTTCAGAAAGACATGTACAAGGTTTAATGGATTTCACAGCAGTAACAATAACTATCTGGTGTTGTGCAAGATCACACATATCATGGTTTTACAATGAATTTTCTTTTGGAGAGAACCATTCAGAAAGTTGTGTAAATGACGGAGGCAGCATTTACTATTTCAAAGTTTGTAGGATGTAAAAAAAATGATGGATTTTGAAGCATATAAACACATTTACCCTTTTTGATGAAATTTTCATGGTTGTAATTGGGGTGGGTACCTGGAATATACAAGACAATTCTGTTTTTATACAAAAATAGGTTAAAAGCTCTGCACATTCATAGGTTTTTTTGTTATCTCATGATAATGCAGTATAATGCATTAGTAGAAATATGCTTATTAACATACTCATTTTAACTTAAATTTAATTTATTTGTGTCAAGGAGAAAAATGTGATTGTAGTAATATATGGTGTTTCAGATATATTGTTGACCTTGACAAACTTCAGAAGAGCATAATTCTCCCTTTTATTTTATTTAGCCAAGAATATATCCTTTGAGGTTGGCAGAATACAAGGCAGTAATAGTTAATAGGGTTTAGTTCTAAAAATACAGCTCAGTGAATCAATTGTCCTGGATAAAGAGAATCAATTGTTCCTTCAAGTGAATCACAGTTATGAAAACTTGTATATTATTTGGCATGTCATTAATACCCAGATTTCTGAAGAATCCAGATAAGATTTGTTCCCTTTCACTTTGACTGTTTCTAAGTATCTGTCTAGTTATAATTAGTTTTAAACACCTGACTGGTTTGTTTCTTTTGTGTAAATTCACTGTAAAATTTGTAAAAAAATAGCCCTCTCTTTTCATGCAAAAATGATATGCCTCATAGCCACTAGGATACATCTGTTTTACATTTGGTTTCAAACCTGTTATTTATAAAACTCAAACATTGGTTAAGCATGAACAAAATATCATCATTTATTAAAATATATCTGCAATGAAAGATTGTGGTTAAATGCTTATTTTCTCATCTGAGCTTTGCATTAAGAAAACTGTTTAATGCCAGATGGTATTTTTAGGTTTTGCAAAACAATGCAGATTGTCTGCTTGCAGATATTACTTAAAAATCATTTTCACAGTAAAGGGTTTTTATCTTCTATGCCTTGGTCATCAAAAGTCAAACTTCAGAGTGTTACTGTAAATATGAATTTCGGCCTAAACCCTTTCCAGTACAAGAATAAAAAAAACACAGCCTTACCTTGAAAACCTCCACCTCCTCCAGTATGAGTTCCTCAGTCTGCAGATCATCTTTTGGGAGCACAATTACTTTCTGAACAGTGCCTCGATCTGCAGAAGAATGGAAAATGTTGTAAGACCTACACTGGAGTAGATGCACCTTTCTCTTAAACAGATTATTCCTGTTACTGTACAGTATTTCTCGATCCTGTCTCTCATCCTGAATGTTTCTTTTTAGCTCTCACGTGTAGTGTCTTCTTGTATTGTCTTGCCGGCAAACCATACCAGCAAAACTAGCTTCTGCAAATCCCTAATCAAAAACACTACAACTTTAGAGAGCAGTATTATATTCATATTATACAAATACTCAACACAATACCTTAATACCTTAATTTAAACCACAACATCTGTTGCATTTTCTGATTTTTAATCGTAACCTCCAAGAATACATTTCATTTGACTACAATTAGAACAGAAGCACTTGCTTTGTAGAATACATTACCTTGAATAAAAGCTGCACAAATTCAATATTGCCAGGCTTTTCAAAAAAGAACATTGAAAACCTTTCATAAGAAACATTGGTTGAACAGTCAGTTCAGTTTTAAAAAGTGCAGACAGCTTGACTTTCTTGTCAGATAAAATTCATTAGTCTTTTAACTTCTAGATTCAACATGCAAGATCTGACACAAAGGCCCACACTGTACAAATGTAAATTAACACTTTTGTTTAAACTAAACCATGTTTAGGGAGAGTGATGTAATTTCTCTTTAAAGGCTCAATGCAATGTAACAAAAGACTTGGTGGGAATGAAAACTGCAAACACCAGAATAATGGATATATTGTAGCCTCTTATTCCCTAAAGGCATTTAAAAACTCTATTTGCAAAGACTCACATATGCTAAAAATGCTTGTTGCTAATTGTCCACATTGAATTTAAAAAAGTGAAATCCATTCATACTCTTCAAAAATTAATTATGAGTAAAAAATAAAACTCCTATTATGGTTTGCAGTATCAATCTCCCCTAGGCTGCCCTGGGCAGGGAGCATTCAACCTCTCAGTCAGTCTGTAAAAGTCAAGTTAATCCCCAGGATCTCAACTGCTCTGTCAAATCAGAGCCTGGGTGCAGAGTTAGACTGTCAGTTCTTGTTTTAAGGTAGATTATGTTATAATTTCACAAGGGCTTCGGTTCCTTAATGGCTTGAGTTTGAGATACAGCTCTTGTTGCTACAGGGCACAAGTGTTGTGCACCAAGATATGCTCAGTTTAGAGATATTCTAAATTAGAGATATTGGTTCAGTTTTTAAAAGGCGAGTACAATGTTGCTTAATAAACTGATATTTAAAAGGACCACCTTATCTGTCATAAGTTAAAAGGTCAACAGTCTCTATCCAGTTTTCATTAACAGCACATTTTCTTTTAATCATCAGATACTGATGGCTTATTTTAGTTGTACAAATGTGCAGACATAGAATTGATGTAACACACATATTAATGTTGAATACACTTGAATAGGTTGACTGAAACGCATATGCTTTTGGCCCTATCGACTTCTTTGGCTTTTTCAAGGTTTACCAATACTATGTTAAGTGAGGTAGAAATCTGGAAGATACAGTCAACAGGGACTTCTTCTAACTGGTCCGAGCCTTTTGGTTCCATGGCATAGCGTTATAGTCGCTGACAGCAAAAAAAAACTTAGTAACTTAACAAAGAATCAGTGTTTTAAATCAGTATCTAAACGCCAGTGAAGACCAGAGTGACATCTTTTACAAGCTGTATCTGTGAACTCTCTGAAATTAGACATTTGAGATGGAGGCTGTTTTCCCCAGCTGTGGCTCCTGGCATGGAGACTAGCACCAGCTGGGTGAATAAAAGACCTCGTGTCAGGAACGAATTGAATTGTGATGCCCTTCATTTTGACAGTTGTTCGCCTTGTTTAATTTGTCTTTAAACACACCCTACTTTCAGGCCAATACAAGTGAAAAAGGAGTTTACCTGCAGCCGCAGGATGGCATTCGTTTTGGATCACTGAGGGTCAGGCATTTTAAACGGATTATGTCATCATTTTGTGATTTCTAGGTGGCTAGTCCCTGTACTCGAGAGCCACAATGGTGCAAGTTTTCTTTTTACTATTAAATTCAATTTCTGATCACCTTCATTGAGTTGCGCTAGATTTGCGCAGTCACGTTAAGAGATAATCAGAATGAAAACATCACCCTGTTGGTCTAAAGGACAACGGCTGGCCATTCCGGACTTAACTGAATCAACTAATTCAATAACTTGATGTTCATTCATGTGTTCCAATTCTTTAAATGCTAATGATTAAATGTTGACCTTTATAAATCATAAATTATCGTGGCTTTCCAATTCTGGTTTGGTCACTTTTGGATTATGTGTTCTCGTATATACATATATTTTACTTAAGCCCATTTTGGGAATAAAAGTAATGAAAACTTTTAATGATTTTAAATTGATATGGAGGTTAAAAACTTACCAGTTCCCAGGAAGAGCACTTCATAGCTCCCATCTGCTGCAGTGACTTGGTCCACAGTGATTGTGGTGAACTCATAATCTACGTTGGTTCTCACCACTAGGGGGCGCTTGTGCACTGGGTACACGGCATTGTACATGGTGGGATGGTTCCGCATGAAGTTAATCACCTCGTCAGGATAATCCTTGGTGGATTTCATGTTGGGAGTGAAGGTTCCTCCTGGGCACTGCAGATCAGACCACGTAGAGAGAACTTAGAACACCAGATCTCTTAAGGATTCAATTTAACATTCCTTTTTCAAACACAAGACCGAGCTCCAAGCTAAAAAAGGCTGCATTTTAATTGGTTTCACCCTTAGGAGAACTCTTAACATTCCCACTCCCCAACTCCACTACTGATTTGGAACCCACAAAGTAGACAACGATTCAAATGACATTTTTAACAACAATTTTCCAGTGTTGTCTATCCACTGGATTTAATGAGCTATAAAACTTATCCACATGCTACTCCACATAGCACAAATAATGAAGCTGATGGTACTTAAAGAAAACAAGTTTTCATTTGAATCTTTGGCACAAATGGACCCTTTTGCAGCCAACCTGGAGAAAACAAGCTAAAAGTTGGATGAGTGTAACAAATGAAACCCTAAAACCGAGTCATGGGTTGCCAGTGCTGTATCCTTGGATAGACAAAGGGCTTCTGTTTCAAAAAAGCAAAGCTTTAAAGTTCCAAAACCTGTCTGGCATTGACTGTGCACTAGTGAGATCATTGGAGGTCTCATATCATTTAAAATTCACAGCTATTTCATTTTCATGTATAGCACCTCATTATTTTAAAAATAAATCCTAGTGAGATTTATACCTTCCTATAATGGGGCTGAAAAGGAAAGAATGATTTAAGTTTGGTTAGTGTTAAATACTTTTTTAAACACGTTGAGCAACTTTCAGATAACTGCAACAAAGCACAAAAAGGAGGAGTGTATATCCAGTGTATATACACAGTGTATATCCAGTAGGTTGGCCCTGTGTAACAGGTGGGGGGGTGTTACGAATGTCTCTATGGAGATGATGGACATTTTCCACAGGTGTGGAAGAGATGAGAGAAAACCTGGACAATTTAACAAATTTAACAATCAATGAGTTGATGACAACGAGGTTAAGATGGGAGGAAATAGTGAACTTACTGTCCCAGGTCGAGGATAAGGGATCTTCCCAGTGTAGGCTACCCATTGGTAGTTGGGTCCCTCTTTGTGAGCAAATGGTCCATTGAACACCATTCGGATATCTGCCATCGAGTAGACGCATACTGCTGAACCTTTGAACACTGACCTGGAAGGTGAAACCACAATGCTGTCAGTGTGTGCTGGGGTAACTGATCCATTATAAAAAGCACAACCATTGTTTTCTGTGTCTTTCCACACGCCATTCACTGACGACAGGAAAATAGGTCAGTGCTCATCTCTCACAGAAAGAGATGAATACAAGCTGAGCAGTCCATTCAGAACGGAGCAGAAATACAGTATGTAAAATGATTTCAAAAAACATCTCTATGAGAGACCTTTTCTCATACTTTCTCAAAATCAATTACCGTGTCAATAATCACTGCTGGTTTACTTCTTTTTTGACAGTTTAGTTACCCAGGCTTATTATACATGACAGCTGATGGCTTGCTGTTAAAGATATCCTAGGGAGAATAGCTAATTCACAGGAAGCTCACCTGTGGTTTGTTAGAGATTTCTTTTTGTTCTATGTAGTCTTTAATAAACCAGGTTTTGCTTTAATTTCTAACTGCATAGCTTAATTTAACAGTGTTTTATTCATGAACTGCAAATGTAATGAGTTTATAATGTAAAATATTACTTTTAAAAGTACACATACCACTGCATATTTAGCGATCCATTTATTTATACACTCTTGAATTCATTTTCAGCCAAAGCAGAGAACAATAGCCAATTCAGTGTCAACTTCTGGGAAACAAGATCTCTTGCATGATGAGTTTGTAAACCCTCAATTCATATCAGATGCCCAGATATTCAAGACAATTCTAGAAATGTCTTGTCTGCCTTCTTTGATCCTTCTATTTTCTCAATTTTCAGCAGTGTACCATGTACTTTTTCATCTTTCTGTTACATTTGCAGTTTTCAAACTGGCCCACATGTCTTCACATGATAATTAGGTTACTTAGGTTTTGATGAAACCTGTGGTCTGTTGTATAACTGAAGTTTGTAGTTAAACAGTACTGTTAAATGTGTTTATTTCTGTTACCTTACATTCTGATTCCGGGCATAAGGCTACTGTAGACTTGTTGCCTATAATCCTGTGTTTTGGAATGTCTGGTGAATGATATCTTCCCATATATCATTTAAAGTCTGATATGGAAGAAGCACCTATAAAGATCTTACACGGAAATCCCATATCAGCTCTGGGATAATAAGTAAGGCTCACATCCTGATACAGATGTCTACTGCCTAAACAAACCAGAAGTCCTCAGGTAAAAAAAAGTGCACTCAGTTTAGCTAGGAAACCATGAATCTAACTGAGTGTTCAATCTAAAGGCACTTAATATCCATCAACTACAGACTCAATGACTAATCAATACACGTATTCAGGTCTAGTAGACTAGTCTGCCTGGAATACCTGAAATGGACCAAATAAGGATGGTAGAAAGGATACTTGTTTTCATTTTTTATCTTTTATCTTAAGACGTTAAGCTTAATTTATTGAAATACATGAAACCCTTGACATTGATGTCAGGGTAAGCAACTTAAAATCCAGAAGCACTTGTTCTTTGTCAATTGATATGAAGACCTACTTACAACACTTAACCTAAAAAACCCAGAGACGTCAGTCCCACTAGGTGTCACTTGCCTGCCCACTGCAGCCTCAGAGTGATCAAACTGGGGTTAAAATGGGGTTGAAACCAAAAACACTGAAGGTACAGTCAAAAAACCGCAACCATCTACTGCAACTTAAGACAACATAGAGGGATACTTGTCACTTGGTCTTTCCAAACAATTTCACTGCCGGTCTTTAATACAGGCAGCACTTTATATTATATATTGATCCTGATAATTAGAATTTAAATAATTAGTGCACCGATGGTAACCAAATTGATTCTACAATGCGAAAGTAGTAGATTTGTAAGAGAGTCACAGATCTAGTAGCCTACACAAATAAACAAACTCTGATTTCATCCACAATATACATATATTAATGCAATCCCTGATCCCCATCACGCATGGGGTTCAGGGGGTTACCCGCGCCTGTCGACAAAGGGTAGACACATGCTGATCCATTCAGTGTGGCATGTGTGCAGCCCCGGACATCGGAGGGGCATCACAGACCTGTTATTGCTCCATCTCATGTGGCTGAACGCCACTAGTCCAAGGTCCTTCAGAGAATATGTTTAAGGCTAATGCTTAGAAACGTAAACTACTTTAATCATTATCCTGAGGCACTCTGGAAAAAGTTGATTCTTGCACACTGTGTGTATATTCTGTAAATTCATCAGAGAAACAAGGCGGTATGACAACCATTGAAAAGGCATTTGTTACCATACCAGTGGGCGTTTTAAAGCTTGGAATGTTCAGTCCATTTTCAGTGTTCACGGGTGATATCATGCAGACAGATTCCTGTGTAACCCAGAGCTGGCAGAAATTATCCATTGATAATTTAGAAGAAAGCACAATGGCAACTCACCCTGATACAGAGAAGACGCCATAGATGACTGGATTTTTGGTGTCCTGGGTCTGTTGTATGTAGACGTCTCCTGCCACACAAAAAAGAACCACATAAGGTGATCTATGTTATTAGGTGACAATACTGATGTATCACTGAGCTCATTTTAATCCAGACTACACAACAGATACTGCATTATTTCTGGCTTTGGGTAACAAAAGATTGGGTAGGGAGTTAGGAATTTTACAATCTAAAGAATTGAGATTGTCAGCCTAGTAGGACTGTAAGGATTACTGGAAGAGATACTCCATCAGCGTGCAGTCAGCGCTTGAAGATAAATGAACCAGTGAGACCATGTCTTTCTTCCAGGGAGTACCAGTTACAGCCCAGCATCGCACTCCCAAGTGAAGCCTGGCACTAGGCCCCAGAAGAAAGTACTAGAGAATCATTTCCAAAGAAATGTGTTAACCGCTCAGGCAGAAAAGCAAAAACAGAGTGAAAAGGGAGCACATTGTCATCATAAAAAATGGAAAAACAGCAAAGCATAGCTGTAAACCCTGATTTCAGCACATAGTCATCCTCTCCAGTTGTGAGTTCAGGGAAATGGGAATAATCCTATTTTGCATACAACAATCATTTATATATGCAGACATTCTTCTAGTAATACACAACTAACAGGTTTATTACATGCAATTTTCTGAACAGAATAGATACAGGATTATAAGCATTTTGAAAAATGCCTTGTAAAAATTATGCAGAAAAGAGATTTTTCTTGTCTATGCCCATATTCTCATCCCCTAAAAATGTGGTATCTCCGTATGTACAGTAATTAGGCTATTATTGTGAATATATATGTAAACAAAGGCATTTTGGGACCAACAGTAATAAATCAGACATACATTACAGTATTTTGTCTGCTAGTTTAAAATTCTAAACTAAAAAAAACAACAGACTGTCGGTTAATTGAGACTCAGGTAGGACATACTGCCATTGTAGTATGAATGGTCAACATTGAACGTATGATCGGTGGTCCTTTAACCTGAAAATCATGTGTTCTGCCAAAAATGTGTTGCCATAAGCACACAAATACTTACGGCATTATTTTTTTTACCTTGGTAGTGTTTGCAGGGTAATTATGTTTGACGGTGAAATAAATTTAAAATACAGTTATAGTGCAATTGTTTCAGTTTATCTCAACCGTAGCATTGGTTTTTACATTTGAGGAAAAGATAGTCCATCCCAAAATCAGCAATGAATATGAAATAGTAAAGTCTAATCTGTTTTGAAAATATTTCGGTTGTGACAAAAGCCAAATTTGATTATACAGAGAACAAACATCCTCCACAAACTTTCCTAGTAAAAACGTCAAGACAATCGACTGTAGTCAGACTCACAAGACAAATTCCGATCAATTCATGTAATGTAAAGAAGACATGCTTGTAACTTCAGTAATATGGAAAAAAAGGTAATCCAGGGATAAAAATGAAGACATATCTTCACCCTGTTCCCTTATATCAACAGGAGTTTCGAAACCTCCGACTTCAGGGTTCATAGTTTACAATTCAAAGTTTTTTTTTACTGACTGATATAAATAACAGCGAAATTACAGCAGAACCAGCAATAACAGCACAATACAATACAAATAATTGTGTATATTAATTTATGCACATTTAATAAAAAATGTTAAAAAGTGTGAAACTGATATTAATATTTCTTCCACATTACTGTATTGTTCTGTTAAAATTATCCTTTTGTACAAAATAAATTGCTAACTTTGTACAGATGCATTTTTAAGATAAATCCTAAGTCTGTATTAACTACCTCTATGCCACCATGGGCTCCTTCACGAGAAGCCTCAGCTTTAAACCACCGAAAAGACTCGCTATCTATTTCCTGGATTGTATGCAGTTGTGGAAACAAGAAAGCAGAAAAATGAAATATGGTTCATAGTGAAGGTTTCAGGCTCATGTACAAGCTGAATTATATTTAGGATGTTGTTAAAAAGAAGCCCTGAAATGTGTTCTCAGATAACCATCATTATTAATAAAACATCACCCAGAGTGAAAATTCGTGGGTGTTGAGTGAGAGCATCAGGTCTGTCCGGCAATCTCAATTACACTGGTGTAACAGGAAGAAGATTGACCGTTTCAGGCAACTTGTCAGGGAAGTGAGGATCAGAGATCTCTCCAAGCTGATAGTTCCTATTTTACTTCTTCCAGTCCACAATCATACTTTCTGACTGTGTCCTTTCAAGGGGATTCAAAGGCTCCTATATTAGATAGATATCAGAAAGCCAGATTGTCCTTGAAATAGGTTTACACCTTCTCCCAACACTCAATAACCAACTAAGTTGTTTCTAAACTGCACTATTTGTTTACAGATTTCCACATTCCACACTACAGGTTAACATCTCTTTAGCCCGATTTTCACCTCCATTTATCCATAAGGACCCACACAACCCCTTTTTCTTGTTCTGCGGATTCTCATATTCCTGGTCTCTACCTCATTCCTCCACATACCGTAAGGCTGCTCCACAGCTGAAAAGCAAATGTACTTTGTCCTAAACTTTACCTGTTTCCTTGCAGCTCTCCTTCTTAAGCTGCTCCTCACTCTAGCCTACATACTGTACACACATACATATGTAGGAAGATACACATGGTCAGTCTGCCCCTAATTTAATGTCCTATTTGTCTCAAAACACCTTAGTTCAACTGAAAAAATCATGAGGTCTAACTGCAGATTTTGTGGGGTACAATCCAAAAAAATCTGAAACTTTGAACAAGCACGTTCTTATATACTATAATAAAACAGCTTTTGTTATTTGCTCTTTTCTAAACAACTGCATTATAGTTTGAAACTATCCACTATATAAAAATCCACTGTAGCTTTTACTTGATAAATGTACTCATTTTAATCTTGATTTGAGATATTGTTAAATTCCATCATTGCTATGTTGGATTTGTTTTACTGCATGAGCTCAAAATGTTCTCATGCAGCCGTGAAACTCAATACGTTGTGAAAATATCTAACTTGCCACATGAATAGGAGTAAAACCTAACATATTTGACCAAAACATATTGTACAAAGCAATGCTTAATTCAATTCCCTTAATGACGGATCAGTGAGAAGAAAGTATATACTGTAGCTTTTAGACAGGCGTTTGTCTTTGTGTTTGTCCCTTACTCTTGTTAGATGATGACACTAATCTGGGCAGAAAAGTATCTGCTTGGCTGCACTGACTGCAGCTGAAAAGTTGCTGGCACTGTGTTAGAAGCCTCTCCATTCTCTCTACGGGTATCATGGGATTCTGGCTATCTTGATGTTATTTATAAGAATCTCTCAAGTGCTAGGATCCATGGTGCCGGGGGGGGGGTTGAGGTTGTGGACTACTGCCGACAGTCAAAGCCTCATTGCAGTGTAACTTTCTAGCTTCTTATCCACATTTTAGGGTCCTCAAGTAGAAATGTGGAAAGGGGGACAAGTAAAGGGATTTTGGCGCAGTGGGGAATTGTTATGCTTTGTCTTGTCCTTTGGTATGCTTGAAAACTAAAAAAAAAACATTTTTTTCCCTACCACAAAGATGCATGCCTCTATTAATTAAGCTGAAGAAGGTTGTTTCCAAAACTCTTTTTTTTTTAAAAAAAAATATTTTGGTATTGGTTTACTCATTGTCCCAAGTGCAAGCAAAGAGAAACCGACTGAAGTAAAAAAAATGTCGAAGTATTATATAATAAATACTTCCAGTTAGGTTTTGGCATTAGTGAATTTGTTATTGTTGCATTAAGTATTGTTGCATTAATTTCTGAGAAGAGAGACAGGTATAGCGAGTGGGGAGGGGCAAGAACAAGAAAAGGAATTAACATTTGGCAAACAAAACAGAGAAATTCATAATATATCTGACGCCAGCTTGACAGACCTCTGGGCTATAGACGGAAAGAAAAAAGAATAAAAAGGGAAACTTGGAATGTGCTACATTATTTAGTTATCTTAGGATTTCTTTTGGTGTGTCCAAACAACGATAAATTCTAGCTTTGCTAGTACTTGTTTCCTTTCACCCTAAACAGCTTTAAAAAACAGAGGATTAAACCTGTGGACAACTGGCGGGTAGGTCTTTGAAATCTATTCCTACAGAATCACATGAATATGCATCTAAATTATCATTAATATTTTACATTAACTGGACTCTCCATCAGAGCGAGCTTTTGAAAATCAACTTTTTCATTGTTTTATTGTTTTATTGATAGAAAAGACAGCTACTTTAAATTAAGTGAAAGTCTTTGATAGCTTGTGTCATAGTGGTGATTTGTGTTTCTGGAACCACATCTATACAAACTGCGTGCCAAGTCTTTATTTAATTTTGCAGCCTTTGTCATAATTTCATTTTGAGTGTACAGTATCTAATCCAAATCAGGAGAAGCACAATGTCCATGTTTTTGGTTCTTTACAAAACCTCAGTCATCAGCCTTCACAAATACCCATAATAATAAAATCAAAATACTGAAATGCACAGAGAGAGACAGTGGAGGAACGCCGTTAAAGATGATAAAATTGAATCCGTCATGGCTAGCTTGATCTGTCAGATGAGATCAGATCTTACATTTGAAATAATTATTACTGCATCACTGCTATAAAAACAAACAAAAACGAAAACATCTGCAATGGTGATATGGAAAAAAAATTACAACATTAGACAAACCTCCAAATCTAACTCCAGCATGATAGAATTCTATAAAAATATCTTTGTATCTTAAGGAATAAGATTAAAACGCAGCTTATACATGCAAGTTAATAAGTCCAAAATGATCTAAGCCCAAAATTGCTTTCCCTCCTGCTTTTGTAAGCAATAAAAACTAACTATACACATTTTTTGTTTCCTTAAAAAGTAAGAATTTATTTCTTCTGGAATGCTGCCCATTCTCAATCGCGGCCTCTCCCCAGCAAATTCTGAATCAAGCTGATACTTTTTAGCCGTCTCGCGCTGCCTGTTCGGGCACATTCGGCAGCTCTGCCTGAATCAACTAAGCTCTAATAGTGGCGTCCTGCAGACAGGCTTATTCTCTTTTCCCTCTGGGGTCCTTTCTGACACCATGCTATTACCACTTGCCTGGATTAACTCCTGCCTGGCTACCCTCGTCTCGAAGGTCGTGAAGTTTATGCAAAATGCATGTGCAAATTGACAAATTCCTGTGGGAAAGCACAGTAGCACTTTAACTTCCAACTTTACGTTACAAAAGACAGCAGTGTTGGCTTTTTTAGGACATAGGCTAAACATAAGTGAAAATGTGGAGTTAAGGAGAAAACAACACATTTTTCACACAATGTTTATTTCCGCTGCTTTCCAGTCATATAAAACAAGTCCTATAAATTTCAGCTCAATCAATTCTTCTGAAGTTTAAACTAAATTGGTAAAAAAATATACAATCCTTCAACGATTTAAAAAGTTAGCCCCAATATTAGTATTAGTGGGCCAGAGTAGTTCTTAATATTTGTATATATTTCAAAAGCGTAATACAGTGTATGCAACTGTATACCAAACACGCAATGCTTCACCATGTACACACTCTAGGTTCTTGCCTACAACCCTCGTCCCATTTGGAGTCTCAGCCAACAAAATAACTTTTTAACTAAAAGTTAGTATTGGCAACCAGTGGTGGGTTAGTGTAGTGGGTAATTCTCTAGACTCTTGACTGACAAGTTGTGGGTTCAAGTCCCCACTGCAGACACTGCTGCCGTACCTTGAAAGAGGTACTTTAGCCTTGCAGCTCCAGACCACCCAGCTGTGGATTTGGGGGCCAGCATTGTTGGGGGCCATGCCCTGTTCTGGACTGGATGTCCTATCCAGGGGTGAGTCATGTACTCTCTACTCTGCTTAACACTACAGAAACCAGCATGAGCTCTAGCCTAATGAGTCACTGTGACTCTGTGATAGACTTCACCTCTTTTACAGTGTGTAATTAATTTTCCTTTCTTCATGTCAAAGAACACTTACATGGAGAATCTTTATATTCTTGCAAGTCCTGTTGCTCTTCTGTGGGCCAGATAATGAACAACTCAAAATGTGTAGCTTTATAGAAAATTACAGGATAGACTGTATGTGACATATGTTCTTTGCCAAAATGGAAGATGACCGTACAATAGTGAGACCTGTCTAAGACAATCAATGAGGCATGTTTGAGAAAATCTGAAATTTAAAAAAACAGCTTTTTCTACCTCCTTCTACAAATGTTACTGTGAAGTTGCTTTGACTGGCAGCACAGGACTATCACGCTAACCATGGTGCTCTGCTGGGACTTCTGATATGTTGCTTTGAAATGGTGGGCTGCATCTGTTCATTAACAGCTTTCTAGGGATCACACTAAACTGCAGAGTTACAATTTATTCAATCATGATTCAATGAATCAGTGCATTTTCAAATCAGTACCTGTGCCAGGTTTAAACCACCCATCAGAGGTAGTCCCTATAGCTGACCTTTGTAAATGAAGACTCAATTAAAATCAAAATAGGCACATTTATTACAGTGTGCTGTAATCACCTGCTCAGATTATGGAATTAAAAGTTTTCACAGATCATTCCAATTTAGTTGGCCCACACACTTTTGCTATATTGTGTTACGCAAGCTTACAAACACCAAGCAGATAGAACAAAGCTTGGTGTTTGTGGCACAGCAAACACAGTGCACATTTGGGGCTTTAATAAGAAACCAAATTCATTATGGTTCATCAGACTCAAACACACTAATGGGATTTAAAGTATCATGCTGTGAATAGGCCAAAGAGTGAATAAACAAAAGACTTGTGAGCCTCACCTAAGAATGCTTAAACAGCACTTAAATTATTTCAGTACAATAATTTGCAACATTCCATGTGGTTTTACATATGCCCTTTTGTGCTAAGCACATTCCAAAATACCAGCATCTACCACTAAAACTTTATAAAATGTTCTAAACCAACATGACATGACAAATAATGTCTTTTGGCACCTACGTCTGAGTTTACATTTAGTAAAGTGAAATTACAACTACATCATCATACAATATTAAGGGAGAATGAACTCAATTTCAAATGAATAGGAGGAAGGCAGAATTCCTACACAAGTACAAAAAACACTTTGTGAATTACAATCACTATGTCCCAACACCAGCTGCCACATTATTGTCACATTTTGGAAATCACTTCATTTGTTTACAAAATATGAATCTGAAAGTTGCGTACAGCAGCCAAAAACTGATATACTGGCATAAGACTTACTTAGCCATGTAGCTAAAGTGTTTGTTAATTATATTAGGATAGAAATTCATCATAACTAAATAAAAGTAAACTGAAGGTGTAAACAAGCACTTTTGAAACAGTGTCCGGAATGGATGTGCCCATAGGTCTATACTTTCAAATCTAACATGATATTTTTCTGGAGCATGACTAGCCATATATTAAACTCTGAGAGTCAGTTAAGCTCTTCCTGAACCACATTCTGCAAGTTCTAATTTAAAGCAGGAATGGAAATAAGATAGCAAAGCACTACCCTAGAGATGCAAATGAATCAGAAATTCCTCTTTAGGAACAGAGCACATTCTACGTAAGGCCTGGCAGTAACAGCTAGACATATAACTTTCAGTCTTTTAAGTGTTTCCAATCACCCTGCTCTCCTACAAAAAAGGGGAGCTATATGTTTCAAGCTGCTTGAGACAACATCTCTAAAATATGTGTATGTGATTCTCATTACTATCTGCTTGTCAGTAGATGCTCAAAGGTCTAGGGTGACATTTGGAAATGAAGTGCATTATTTGGCATTACCCTTGGGGGAGACGTTCAGAATGGTAAACGCCATTCTCGCCATCAGAAGGTAAGTATGGTGAAGCTCTAAAAAGGGGGCACTACATTTGTTACAGTTATGTGGAAGGTGAAGTTGGGGGCAAAATAGAGGACAACCTGAAAACAAGTGCCGTTCGGCAGTCAGTACCCCCCACTTATCCCTCAGCTGATCACCACTTGGCAGCAGGCCCAGATAAACGAACAAGTTTCAGACCAGCTGGTGGAATTTCAGCCTTTTGGATCCATTCATTCAAATTCTCCTCTGGGGATGGAAGAGCGAGGGAGCAAGAAAATACCAGGAGAAGGGAGTGGGGAGGGCTGTGAAAGGCACGATCACAAACATTTTGTGCAGTTGGATTGATTTGGCCTCTGCGTGATCCATGTGTCCAATAACAAAACAAAACGTGATCTGGTAGATGCGTCAGTTCTTTGTAACGTGATACAAAAAAGAAAAAAAACCTCACTCTATTTCCCTGGAAAACCTTATTTCCTGTTTCTCCTTCAGTACTACAATTTTAACCTTCAAATGCCCATTCAAAAGACAATCCAATGCATAACAGATCTGGGGTTACAGTGCTGTACTAAAGGAAAACTTTACCAAGTACTAAAGGAAGTAGGAAGTACTACAATACTAAAGGAAAACTTTAGTTCCTGTTGGTCATTGTTGACTTTATGTTCAAACATTGGTCATGCCCTGTTCAATCTCAGTGAAAGCTATCTTGCAGAATCAAAATATAGGTGTGGGGATTTTCTTTTTATAAGAACACAAGCACGTGAGAAAGGTTACAAATGAGAGCAGGCCCATCTAGCCTTTTTGTAGTTAGTAGCTGAAATAAATTTGGGTATTGGCTTCAACAACATGGCTGACATATCAACAAACGTTCATGTAAAGAAGCAGTCATTATAAATGAGCTTCCAATCAGAAAAAGGAGGCTGCAGAACATAGCCATAGCAATTCATACAGAAAGAAATCAAGAAAATGATATTGAATGATAAAAAGTGGATACTTCTTTTCCAGCACAATGTACCACAACACTGGCTCTAGTGAGGCCTTTCACACTGTTTCTGCTTGTTGTTATTCAGACAGATTAGAGTGACTAAGCCAAAGACAGTAAAAGAGGACTGAGCTGGATGCTGGAAACAAATTGTTAGCAGCACTCCTGTTTTTCCAGTACTAGACACATGAAACACATGATCTGTGTGCCAGTTTGGGAGCAGTGCTGTTTGGGTAACATCCAAAGTCTTTAAAAATGTGCTCAAAAGTTATCAAAACAATGATACATATTTCATTTTGCTATATTGGATTTTATTTTTAAAAAATGCCTTAGGCCTTAGCTGTAATTTCTGAAACAGAGATGTTTAGATCACACTACATAGACTGTTTTAAAATAATTACTGAAAATATACTCTGTTAAAAGGAAAAGGGGAAGTTGGGTAGTTGACTGTTGAGGAAGAGAGGTCTACTCACGAAGCTCATCAAAGTGCGTTTCAATCCCATCTGCCCCTGGAACAGAACAGATGAGTCTGGCCTTGAGGAAGGTGCTCCACTTGTTCACCAGACAGCAGTGCCCACCATCGTCATTCTGAGAGACAGAAACCATGTGGTCACATTACACCTTATAATCACACAGTAGCCACTAAACTCATACATGACCAGATATACAGACGCATGCATTCAGTAACTAATACAAAGACATACAAGTGGAAATGAGGATACTTCAATGTCATTTAAACTGGACATGTCTCCTTTCAAGTAGTCATTACAAGTTTTAAATGCACTGTACATCAAAAGCCTCTTTCTTTTTAGACCAAGTTAGTATTTCAGGCTACTGTAAAATGTCAATTTCTGTAAGTTGTGATTAAGTCATAGTTATTTCCTCAATGTAACCAATCTTCTTTGCACCTCTGTTGTAGTTGGACTGATTATAGTCATTCAATGTGTTTGAAAGATTTATCACGTTGTAAGAAATGCATAGTTAAATGCAAAAATATAAAGGAACACTAGAGCATCTTTAAAACAGATTAACATGGTGGCTTGCAGTTTCCAAGCCCACATTATAAGGACATTTCACTGCTACAATGCATTTTCTAATTCCAAGACAGAACCAGATGAGGCTTTTCCCCATCTGCTGTGGACACAAGCCAAATTCCTGCAGAATATGGATGAGTAAAGTCACTAAATATGATTTATCACTTCAGTCCTTTCACATTTCAGCCAATAACATACTTGCCCTCTGAAACTTACTTAGCCTTGAAAAGGAAGGCGTCAGAAAACACTATCTGAAGTATAAGTTTAATGGAAAGAACTAGTGAATTGAACAGCAATATAAACCAAGACCTCTGCACTCAAACCACTGAAGCAATATCCCCCAAGAACAGTCCAAAAGAAAACAGGGAAAATTAAACGTTTATACCGAAGGTCCCGAACAGCCCTACTTTTATAAACAACCAGTGAGAAACTGCAGAGGTTGGAGCACGAGTGATGCAAGCACAGCCAGATAAACAGCACTCTGTGTAAACTAACACCATCAAGCTGCGCAAGAACCTCTCATTGCAGGTTTATAGGAAGGGACGACATTGTGGTTTGTTTGTTTTTTCTTCATTCCTCTTTTTATAGAGGGGAGCCGGAAATGTTTGCATCAAGAGATTGTTGTGAAACGTTTGATTCATTGACAGGTCAAAGGGAGATGGTTTTGGATAGCAGCCATGTTTAGAAAGAATCTTTTCACTTTCAGTACTCCTTAAGATCAGGACTCGTTGTATGCAGGAAGATTGCTGCACTGTCAGTGAGGAAGGGTGGTCCAGCTGCCCCTTTCTCCATTGAGGAAAAGGATTGTTTACTGACATGCTAAACATCTCTGGACCCCCATATGCGTAGGTTACAAAAGTTAGTTTCCATGATTGGGACCAACTTGGTGAAACTGCACACAGGATTTCCTTACTTTCATAACTGGTCACCAGTGATTCAAAGTCAGTGTCTTGTCTTATGATACAGAAAACTCTCTTTGCACATTATTGGTTCTGCTGACTAGTTTGCCTGATATAGTTTATATAGTATATATAATATAGTTTTATAATATAGTTTTTCTTGAGATTTAAAAGTCTAATAAAACACCATTTTAGGAGTTAGGACTGTTAAGACTATTTAAAGAAGTAGTTTACAGCAATTACAGCAAAACTGGTATCTGTTTCTTCAGGAATTTTGATTTACTGTTTAGAAATAAATACTTCAGCAACTTTGTGTTAATATACTATAGCAGTAATGGACATTAAAAAAATGTTGGATATACTGTATATATACAGCAGGAAATAATTTCTAGAAATAATGTGCAGCAGATCAGGAAATTGAAAAGAACATACACTGTATGTACTATACTGTATGTATTATAGCAAAATAAAATGCTAAACTCATTATTCAAGTTAATTCCTGTTTAAAATAACATGGAACATTAAGAAAAAGAAAAAAAAACAATAAATAAAACACTTTTACCATTTGTAAATTTTCCCTGAGGGTTTTGTGCATATTTAACATGTTCTAATGTTATGGTACAAGGCATGATCAAATTACCTCATTTTACGCACAAAAGCAAGGCAACCTGAAATTATTTTCTTGTGTTCAATTAAGGAACATTTTTTAAGTCAAAATTAGAACTGCCTCAGGCAGCTTCTACATTTGCAAGATTTGTTGTTTCAGGCTGTTTTTCAGTTTTCGCTACATTCAGTTGTAGGAGAATTAAGACACCCGACTTCAACATACCAGACAAATTCTACCAATGCGTGACTGGGCCACAGGACTCTGACCCATCTCCGAAGACTTCTCCCGGAAGAAAAAGTAGAGTTTATCGTCATTTTTCTCAGCGCTGTCAGGGATGAGGCGAGCATGAACAAATGCAGGGTCTGAGAAAGACACAAAAGAGGCAGGTGTCAGGGGGCATGCAGGTGATAAGAAAGAACGAAGCAGTCTTAAGTGTTACAGAAGCTGAATGATTTCTTTGGGAGAAAAAGCCTCTTATTTAAAATGTTGGAAACTACCTCAGGGAAGATTAATACTGAAGATCTTCTGAAGAACAAAAAGAAAAGCAATTTTGTTAAACCTAACAGTCAAAGGACTTTAACTTTGTGATGGGAAACAGTGGTTCCCAAAGGTAAAAAGGTCTCCTGGTATCCTCTACATACATGAGATTAATTAAAACAATAATCTGACTAAACAAATTAGTCAAATTATAATTTCTGCAGGACATAAGCAGCTGTTGATTTCCAGACAGCTGCAAATTCCACCCTTTCCTGTCATTAATCTAAACATTGTGTGTTTTAATTTTTATTATTTACATTTAGTTTAACCTGCTGTACCTTAATTATTTCACGTAATTGTGTAGAAAAATAGTGCAGTCTGTTATGCAAAATGTCTCTCATGAAAACTCAATATATATACAGTACAGCAGGTGATAACAGGTGACACAGTGGTCTAGAATGTGCCTACATAGTCACACCCAATTTGGTTCTTTATATGCAATATTAAAGGAAAACGAGCTGTTGTAGAGCTAAACAATGAAGGCAAAGGTTTTCCCCAGATGAGACGCACAGGCCAAAATCATTTTGAAGGACTTTTGGAATGGAACTGGATTGTAAGCCTTTGCTGATTAATGCTCTAGTATCTGGCTTCACACCCATGAGTTGAGAGCTGAAGGACTGATCAGGGCTCCCACAGATGAGGTGACAATTTAATATGACCAACCACCTGTCTGCAGGATGAATAAATTATACTTAATTAGATAAGAGGATTATTGAGAAGGGCAGGAGGAATTGGCTGCTTGGCAAGAAAACACTATCTTGTCATCTGTCCATCAACAATTTATGTGATTTTCAATTGCCACTGCATATCGAACAAATTTAAACAGTATACAAAAAGCTAAATATATAGATATCCCACTTTTCTGAATTATTAGCAACAGGTGTTAATGTACACTTTGTAGACAGTTACAGACCCAATAAAATAGGAATTGTTTCTACTGAGAAAGCCGCATCTATACTCAAGCTACATGGAAACCCGAGTGTCCACATTTTGTATTGAAGTTAACAAACCTATAGTCAATAAATGAAAAGTGGCAATCCCAAATATATTGAAAGGCTTGTAGTATATGAGTCAAGCTGCTAAATTTAGACAGTTACTGAAAACAAAGTTACAAGTTACAAAATGCAAGGAAAACTGGAGCCATTCTTCTTAAACCTCACAACGTTAATGGGCACTTGTACCATTTAACCATCTGGAGTTGTACTGGTCTGTGCGCATGGCTGTCTGTTTCCCCAGAGTGCGGAAAATGGCAGAATCCGTCCCCATGAAGTCGATGTAAACTCCTGCGTAGAGCTCACCATCTATACAAGGAGACAGAGAAGGACATAGATCAGAGTTCAGAACACACTTCAGCTATGGAATCCAAGGAGAGGAGCCAACTTCTTCGGCTCTTTGATATTCAAGCGCGAGCACCCTGGGCACAAAGCAAGAAAGATCCTCTTACATTGAAGGCCATCGCCAAACACAGGTGCCCTGTCCATCGCTGTGTCACACTCCCCGGACTCAACTGAATAGTTTCAGTGTGTCATCACTGGGATTTCTGTGTCAGTTACTTCTTTAGCACTTGGGCCCACATGGGAAGGACTGAATTAAATGGCTGCGTTTCAGATGCTAGTAAACCCCTGTGGTGCATCATTCATGCAGAGAATCTCCATTTAGGAGAAATGTTAGCAGTTAGGAGAACCTAAATGGGCTCTGTCTGGATACATGTGGTCTTGCATTTGTCTCCTTCACATTACTGCAGTTGTTGTTTTTTTTCCAATTATGCTATATCCTGACTTATTTAATTTAATTCTTTAATGAAGAATGTTTTTTTTATTAAATCTAAGAATTTTAAGTAAACATGTATTCATGACACAGATTTACACAGAAGTAAATAAATGCAATTTCAAAGGATGGTACTGATCAGGGAATAGGACTGACGTAACTGCTACACCAGCATTCAGTGATCTAATATAGTAAGGTATCCATGCCATGTCAGAGCCCTTTAGGGGTCTGAGATCATTAAACTGCAGAAGCAGGCATGTGTGTTGGTTATGTCTATACTGAGCTGTGTAGCTCCATGTCTCTAAGAAATAACCTACAGTTGTAAACTGTCAGAGGTTCAGCCAAGCAGATCCAGAGAATGTATAGAACAGTTGGCTTGGTCAGATGGAACAGCACACTGTAATGTGCAGGGCAAGGTGGCTTAAGTGGTCAAGGGGAGGCCAAGATTCAGCCTTGTTAAGCAGCAGGAGCTGCCTGGAGGAGGTTAACTAGCAGCTGCCTCAGCTCAGCATCTATGAGCAGGTGTCTCAGCATGGCAGTGAATGGAGTGGTGCCATTTGTGGTGAGGAAACAGTAAGGAATAAGAACTGCAGTCTTTAAAGATGAAACCAAATTCTTTGCATACTCCTGCCATTCTGAAACACTTGACCATCCTTGTCCTCTTGCCAGACAGCTAGCCATGAAAATGGCGATTTGAGGTGCAAAGATGAAAAGGGGAGGAGGCAGCAAGCTGGGGAGCAACATGTGTAATCATTCACAGAACTTTGTTTCCAATGCGTGCCCATGTTGTGCCCCTCAAGAACTCTGTACCTAATCCCAGCGTTGAATCCGATTAAAACAGACGGAGAGCAAATTTGTTTAAATCACGGTCATTTGTTCCAGTCTGTTCAGTTGGGACTGCATTCATGTGGAAAGGGAGAAGGGTACAAATCTGACAATCTAGCCTTTTCATATTCAACAAGTAAGATGGACTGATAAATGCAACAGCTACAGTTAGCCTTCCCAATTGTTGAAAACTGAATATTATTATTAAAAAACTTTACCTTCTTATGTGTTAAAGTACTGTGGAGATAAACAAGGAAGACCAGAAAGCAGTAATAAAGAATATTGATCATGTAGGCCATTTTGCAGAGAACAGGGCAGAGTTAAAAAAATGTTTTTGAAATGCCTGTGTTATGCTGTAAGACCATGCTTTTGTGCAAATTCCTTCATCGCATCTATTTTAAATAGCAGGATCTGAAGTGGTTACATTTGAACTGTATTTTTCTCAAAGGACACATTCTAAAGGCCATTTCTATCCCTTTTCATTTCTTTCTAGACCAATATAGATAAATTAAGACATAACGTCATGAGAAAAGTATGATAAAAATTCTGTATTAATATATCCCGTGGGAAAAAATGTAAAATCAATTTTCCAAGTTGTCTGTTTTGCCCGAAACACCACAATGTTTTAGCAGTGCTCCATTTAGGAGTCTACAGTAAGAACTGAGAGTACACAACTGGCATGATGGAGACTGGGAAAGAAGCTATTACAGCACTCCTTAGGGACCTAAAATTAATGTCTGAAATAGAATTCTCTTTTCATAAAATGTGATTTCTTTATAATTGTTTGAAAGAACCATCCCAGACAGGGAATACTCACTGATCAAAGCAGACACACTGTTGAGTTTAGGGTCATATGAACATTTCCCTTTCCCTGAATCCACTTTGCCTGGCTCCAGGCGGAAGATGTATTCCTGGAAAGAAGAACACAGACTACAATCTATAAATACTTAAACAGTATACATTAGGCAAACATTATTGATTTGGTTTTATGGCAATATTAGGAACTCCTTAAGCTTTTAAAGAGACTGTTTATGGAGAGCTGCTTGTTGGGAGATTTTGTAAGAACCCCAGTTTCTGTGTATTAAATGCACAGGACTTCTGGACTTAGCTGGACGCAGCAGAGCTTATCAAGTCTGAAGTGGCCAGTTCGTCATGTTCTTTGCCTTTGTCTGATAGTTTTTAGATGTTGCATCACTAACACACAGATTAGGACTAGCAGCAGAAACAGTCATCCAAAGTGACAAGTTTTGTGAGTTCATTGCTGATTTGCTGATCCACAACAAGTCAAGCAAAGACACAATAATAAACAGTCTTGCTGAAGCTTCATGTATTCTGTAAAACTGCTTACTTGGGGAAAGCAATACGTTTCACTCAAGCAAATAGGGGAAATACCTAAAGCTTTGACTTGGTCCTATAGTTTTAATTTAAATGCCTATTCTGGGCCTATTGACATTTGAAACCTCCGTCCTTGCTTACAACAAACTGAATGAACTTTCTGTGCTGTTTAGAAACGTTTCTTTTGCACATAACTAAACAAACTCTATCTTGTAATCATTTTGCTGTGACATTTTCTACTTGTGTTTCATATAAAACCTTGTTTATATAGAAGGTTATATATACAAAGAATTCTATTACTCATTGTGACCAAAAAGATCAACTTTTAACTTGTCCAGAGAACATTCTTCCAGTAGTCTTGTGGATTGTCCAGGTGCTCTTTAGTGACTGTGTGATGGGAGACAACCTTTTTAGAGAGCAGTGGTTTCTTCCTTGCTATCCTCCCATGAAAACCATTCCTATTCAGTCTTTTCCTGATGAATGAGGCGTGAACACTGACATTAGCTGAAGCGAGAGAGGCATGTGAATCCTTCGATTTCACTCTGGGGTTCTAAGAGACGTCCTGGATGATTTTCCAGGTGGCACTTGAGGAATTCTTTGCAGGATGACAGGCAATGTGCAGAGTCATTATGATCTTGAATATTTTCCATTTGTCATCTGTTTGGCAGCGGATGGTCCCCAAAATTTAACAAGTTACAAGTAACAAATGTTTTTTTTTAGCCCTCTCCATAGTGATAAGCATTAACTAATCTTTTTCTGAGGTCATTCAAATTTGAATTCAAAGGTATTGACCATTTTATAGGACAGATCTGGCCAAAGTCAGTCCTTGGTTTCTTGGTTACCCAATTTTATAACTTACTGTAAATATCTTCTTAACTATGCTAAGTAAAGAAGGATTCACTTTTAAATACACTGATTCTTAATAGTTTTTTTTGTATTTTACCATTGTATTCCAATAAACACTGAGTTGGCAAATATAAAACCTTTTCAGTTGTTAAAGAAAAGACTGAATACAATTTAACAAGGGTTTCATGGCAAGAAATTGTAAATCCCATAATTATGGGGGCACTCTACCCTGTACTCAAACTTCACATGGTGGTCATCACTAATGTTCTTTTCCCATCACATCAACTCTTGATAAAAATATAATCTTTTTTTCATATTTACATTAAAAATAAAAGATTATTCAGTGCTGTGAATGAAATCTGTAATTGGAACCAAGGCATTTTAAGGGGGGAACTTTAACACTATTTTTATATTTCAGGATCAGAAAGAATCGGCATTGATGAGTGCATTTCAAACCACAATGAAAGTATAATGTACACGTACTGTAACATGTAAAATCTCCCAACTTACATTACAAAATACACAAAATTTCCAGTTATACGCATTACCATACCCATGGCAACCAAACTTCCAGTAATTTGAAGTGGCCCTATTACATTGTAAACAAGCAGGCTCGTTAATACATCTCTTTTACTCCAACAGAAATATTGCTCTTGACTTTGAGATGGTTTGCCGAAAATACAATACAACTTGCAGGTTATTTCTGCTTGCAGATAACTTTGGAACTTTTCTGCGGTTCTGTGGTGAAATGTCTGCTACAGAACCTTTACTTATTCGGTTATACATCGCATTACATTAATCATTACAGTGACTAGTGAGCAGGAAGTGCCACTTCACGTTGCAATTCGCGCAAGCGAAATAGGGACTGCATCTCCCCTTTAACACCTCAAAGGTTCCACTTGGCCCATTATCAGAAATGTCATTATATAATGGCCAGTAAAGTTGGTATCAAGAACTGGGTGCCACACAGTTTCCAGATAAATCAAAAACTCAGAAATACAATGCCTGATGTAGATCTGTAAACAGTTAAAAAGGTTTTCGTGTTTTGTATTTTAACTCGGAGGACTGTGAGGATTCTGTAGGATGATCCAGCAATAGTCCTTCATGGTAATTGAATGGAAGGTGGTGCCTTGAGGGCCTAATTTCCCTGCAAACAAAAATGTGTTTTTCCAATGAAACCTACAATTGTAGTCTAGAGGTCACCAAGAAGAACAGAAAAAAAACAGCTAAAATCAACTTGGGTTGTGAATGGATAAATATTGTTTAGCAACAAAGAACAGTTGTAGCCCTTAAATGCTGAAATAATGGTCATGGTCAAAACAGCATTTCTGGTATTTCAGTCAGTTAGCTGCTGACCATAGAAGCCTACTCTTTACTTAGAGTTAACAAAAGACTGCAGTAACTGTGCAAACAGAAGCTCCATGCATAGCTAAGCATTAGCAAACATTATTGAGGGTGTGGACATAAATGACTGAAAGACAACAATAAGATGGAAGATTCAGACTCCAGTATTCATAAATAGTTATTGATTATCAGTAGAGACAAACAACCAGCTTAACTAAAGCAGAGGAATAGGCTTTTCCATCATGCTTAGGATGTTAGTGATGACAGTAACATGAAACCATAGAACATGTTTCTTTAACCTCAACATTTGTTATGGAGATATGTTTGGCGTTCTGAAGATAAATTCTTCGAAACACAAGTCAAGAAAGGTCCACAAAGTAGAGTGTAAAAGGTACATTGTTTATCAAGCTACTGCACCATTGCACAGATGTGGAGACACAAAAAAGAGCATGTGGTATAAGGATATGTGGCTAAAAGTGAAGAATTCAAATCTAAGGTTGTAGTGTCAAAATTGTGCAATACACTAGTAAGAAATAATTTGCAATATTATACGCCGATTCAGATGCCATATAAAATACTGTTGCTCTGCAATCAGTCCAGAGAAGAACAACCAGATACACTCAAGGCCTCAGATGATTAACCTACTGTACAGTACATTGACAGACTGTGTCAATGCCTATCCGTAACATACTGTAGAAGCCTATAAGGAAACCTAAATGAAATATTCAACATTCTTAACGAAGTGTGCAAAGGTACCTATTAGTGAAGATGAAGATCTTTTTAAAACAGTCAGGACAGAATACATTTTTAAGAGTAGTGACAAAGTCAGCTGAATGGACTTTTGTGGGATCCACAGTGCAATACGAACTTGATGACACAAATGGAAACTACAGGGAAGAGCATTTAAACTGAGAGGAAAAGGCTGTGGGTGTCTGGAACAAAGCTACCCAGCCATATTGCCAAAAAACAGATGAGATCTTCGGATCAGTTAGTTACGAGTAACTGATGAGTTGTATGGGCCAAATGGCCTCCTCTGATTTGTAACTATTATATTCCTGCATCTACTTTTGAATAGATTCTGCATCTTCTGAGATTATTCAAGCCAGAACATGCATCAAAAAGGGATTTATGCAAAGCAAATTGTTTGCAGTAAAAAACTTCATTTGCTGATTTTGATACATTTGACAATGAAATACACAATTTGAACTAGAACGGTAACAGGCAGGGTAGGTAGACTGATTCATGTGAACACTTTATAAGATACAGCACCTAGCCAATGTGAACCAATGTAAAGTGGCTTTTTTCACAATTTGTGAAACTAATAAGAAAAGCCAACTGCTCTGTTCTGAATACACACAGCATTCACATTGGAGAGAATAAAGTCTTAAGGCATGCAGGGTTTCCTCCATCTGGGCAAGCAGCAGTCAATCTTCAGCTCTGAAGCCCACTTCTTGTGAAAGGTTTGAGATAAAGAGGTACTGAGGGCATATGATAGACTGAGCAAAAGAATGGCCAAAAAATTAAAGTTTGGATTTGAAAGAGAGGGAAAAAAAAAGGTGAGAGAAGAGGCATGCTTAGCTGAAGGAAAAAAAAAGTGGTGATTTCACCATAAATATCATCGAGGGCATTCATCGCCCTCAGGGAGGCCGGAAAAATAAAAATAAAAAGGTCTAAAAATAAAGTAAATGTTAAGTGGCAGAGACATGCACCCCCCCGCAGAGAGCGTGCTGGATCTGACCCAGTGTGGGATGGCACCCCGACTCCCAGCCCATGATGGGTAGGGCTCGGGGGCAGGCAGGATGCCCATGCACAGGATGGGCACGTGACCCAAGCCCATGCCCCACCTTATGTTCCATTGGCTCTGCCGTAGTGAAGTCTGCTGCTCGACTGGCCCTCCCTCCTGGCTGGGGCATCTGCAGGTTTAAGGGGGCCTAAAAACAGAAGACACGACACAGGGAGGGGTTAACCGCCAGCGGCCAATTGTCTTGGTGGCGCTTCTGGGAAAACCATCGTCCGTGGAGGCCCCCACTGCTCCGGAGAAAGACGTGAGCAACAGTTTACCACGATGTCCAAGCGACTAAGCGACTGGGAAGGAGGAGGAGTCATTTTCTGTCACAGAAAACACGAGGAAGAAATATACAGTAAAGTGTCCCATCAAGTGGAGTTCTGAAACTGTGGAAAGTGAAAGACAGAACATGGACATTTTCTGTCTATAGTGTAACTCAATGGGAAGGGAGAACAAAGAAGAACGTTGTGCCAGTAGAAATCTCAAGGCCTAAAATATCGAGAAGAAACTACTGTAAATACTTGCAATCTGTCCCGCAGTGTCTGTAGCAGAAGACATAGCAGCTGGTAAAGTTGGAATGTTGTTATTTCATTCTGTGGTTTAATGATGAAAAAAGCAGCTTGTAGGCTTTATACCTATATTTAATAAATTATATAATTATATCTATATAATAAATGATTATCAAGAGCTGCATCAGTAAAGTGAAAGGCTAATATGTATATCTGTGTTAAACGTTAAATGTACACAGTAAAAGAAAAACAATTCAAATTAGAAGATTGATTGTAATAATGAGACAATGAAACTAAATTCCTTATCTTTACTACTGGGATAGCTACTTTTAAGCTGTAAGAGTTTCTTAGCTGCATTTTGAATACAGTACAGGTTGCTTGGTAAGCAAGATCAAGAGAGAACTACATTTCACTAAACAGTCCTTAAGAAACGGTTTCCCAGTGAAATAAAATTATTGAAGTCAATGTAGACTGCACATGCTTTTTCTGCTTGGGCCACATGTTCCCCGTGTGGTTTTCATGTGAATATGTTGGAAACCTAGGAGGAGCAGTAGAAGCATAAACATAAGAATGGAGTGCAGAATGCATCTGAGTCCTTACGTCAACCTCTCAACAAGGACAAGGGGAGCAATTCTCAACAAATGACCTGTAGCTAATTATTTTTTTAAAATCCCCTTAACTATCATTAAAAATCAAGTGAGGGATTTAAAAAATTAAAAGAAGTGTGTTTGTTGGGGGGGGCTGCAAAAAAGGGAATACACCCAAAGTGGATTAGCTGGCTCGGATGTGGAAATTCAAGCCCCACAATTAAACTATGAGACTAAACAGGCCGAGGAGTAACAGGGCGCTAGGGACAGCAGCTGCCATGGCTTGGCTCACAGGCTGGGCTGGGGGGGGGCTATGTAGGGGAATAACAAGGTTGTTGATGGAAGGGAGACCAGTTTGTTAATGATGAACTTTCAGAGGCTTCACTGATGAACCTCTCACCATGTACTGCTAGGGCAAAAAAAAAAAGGGAAAAAGATTTGTTTCCTTCTCCAAATGACCCAGTTCATCTGCTTTCCTGTTGAAGGCATTTCAGTATCATCCAATTTCCACAGCGTGCACACTAACAGAAGCGATTTGTTTAGTTTCCGAGGAGAAGTTAAGGATTAATACATGCCCATTTCAGGTGTTGGTCAGTAGCTAATTTAGGACTACTTCGCTTTGCTTTTGCAAACCTCATCAGTAGGGGTCACTCTGACACTGTGAAGCTATTAGTCCTGTCTCTTGGCTTTATTAAGAATCAATGCAATATTGAATGCCACCACCGGCATATGTTTGCTTTCGAACCTACCTGCAAGGATGAGGAGTACATCTATGAAAGCATTAAGTATACTGTACACTGTTTTGGAAATCAGTAATAAAGAAATTAGAAAAATAACAAATGAATAACAAAACAGCACCATTAAAACCTTTTAGATTGATCTGTTCAGATGCTAAGCAAGGCTGGACCTGGTCCGTACTGAGATGGGAGACCTCTAAGGAAAACCAGGAGATTAAAGTGATGTCGGTAGACCAGTAGTTGGTGCTCTTCCATCTGCCCCAGAATTTCTAATCCAAGCCTGATTAAGTCCCACTTCAGTCTGCAAATTTCACATTTGATTCAAATGGTAAAAAAATGTTTAACTTCTCCATCTGGTCTGTTGAATCACACAGAATGACTGCTGCACTTCACTGGTACATGGAGTTGATCCCTCCTCCTTATATGTGAAAGACTTTGACTTGAAAAGCATCGAGATGAGTGATGGCTGATACATGAGACAAGGAACATGAAAACAACAAAAAAGGAAGATTCTTTCTCATCTTAAAGAAGATGAAGATAAAAGAATTCTTGGGGGATGAATTCCTCTTCTTGATGAATTAGACCAATTACCTGATATCCTCACCTATGAAAACCCTGAGAAGATGCTATGAAAGAAACCTTGAGCAACAAGCCCGTCTTGGCTTCAGTCCAGACTGGAATTGGTTACCTGTGGCTTGCGTCCTCTGTTAACGTAGGTACAGACAGGATTGTAGGCTCCAGTCCCACAGACATACAAGTGGGTACGATTCCATGGTTCAAGTAGACGGATAAAGTTCCCACATTCACCCTAGAAATAGAAATGAGGATTATAGTTGTTAAAAATTGAATCAATGAAGACTGGAAATATAATAAATATAACCAAACTCTAAAAATAGTTTCTCTTCAGTTATTAAATTAAACTCTTAGCTAAAAAGTGCCGTATTACCAAGTTTCTTCCAGAGCAAGGCCCACCAAACACATGAAGAGCCAGAAATACACCATCAGACTATCTCAGTAGACTTCACATTGGGTGTATGCTTTCAGTCCAAGAAGAAAATACATCTTGAAGCAGTTTAAAATTTTCTGAATTTTTATAAACATTGGTAGGGGGCCAAGCACCAAATTCAGGCTGTTGGACTTCCTAAAGTCCCCCTAAGATCCACAATTCAGATTCAAAATGCCTTTATTGCTATGCATACCACAATAATATAATTTGGCTCCCTATGGTAGCCACATACAGCTCTCTGTAGGGGAATGTGCTATCTTTCATGTGGTAATAAAAACCTGCACTCTAATTATATCAACAAGTAACCTCACAGTGACTCTTCTGTTGCTCAGCATGCATATAGTTGAGTGACATTTAATTCAGAATTTGGTGTTTTTTCATACTGATGCAAGAGCTGTTTGCAGATTTTTTTGGGGGAGCTCAGAGAAATTTGTATTTAAGATGTGTGTGAATTGGTAAAAAGAAGTTGTTGATGGCAGGAATATTCTGGTCCATTTCTTTGTTATTTAGTGAAAGTCCTTTACAGATTAGATTACCACAGAGGTCCTATAGCCATTCCTTGCAATACTGCCATCACCTCATTTACTAATTTATGGACCTTCTAGAAAGAAGCTGTCCTTTATGAATTGCTAATTTTTGAATCATCATAATTCCCCAAAGGGAGCCTGCTTACACATTGCCATGGTTACCACAACTCTTTTGGCTTAACCTTTGCATTGTTCCAGGCCTCAGTGATGAGCTTTTGCTGTTTACCTCAATCTCAGAATTAAAATAGATATAGTGTGCGTTCACACACTAACAATAAAAAAGCAGTTTTTTCATTTAAATCCTTGTACAATTACCTCTTAATTCTTAATTAATGGAATTATTCTTAATAGTTTCAAATAGTCTTAATTCATGGAAGGTTAAAACTGTAATACTAAAATTACAGCAGTGATAAGTGGCACAGACAGTGTTGTTTGGTGAATTCAAGGTGAAAGTCATGCTAATGATCTCAAAACAGCATGAGTAAAGGACCTGTCTTTTTACACAACAATCTGTAGGAGCACTATAATCTAAACTAAAGCAAAACTACCAGAAAGCCAAGCACATGCAAATGAACATGCCTGCCATACAAATACTGGCAAACTATCCTCATGTCAGCAGGAGACACCAGTTATTAGCGACAAATTCTCTCTCTCCCAGGGAGATGAATGAAATGTTTAGTAATTCAAATATGCTCTGGTTTCTACCCATGATTTTAATTGAATACACAAACCTTTGAGCCAGATGGAAGCTTTCAATGGTGGTATTTCTGTAAAAAGGTATTTGCTTAAAAGTTACGGCTACTTTATGAAAAACGTACAAACGATTCTGCCTCTCAATTGCTCTGCTAAATTATGGCATCACATTCCTTTTTGTCATGTCTTACCTAGAGGTAATCTGCGTAAGGATGTTTTTTTTCCTTTTTCTTCTCTTTCTGCAGGTCATAGGGGTCATGTTTTTGTTCCCTGAAGAGTGATTATTATTTTTGTGTGTGTTTAAAGGTGGTGTGGGATTGTCCGGAACAAGTCTGGCATTACAGAACCCCAGCAACCTTAGAGAACATGGGAATTCCTCCTTAAGCAAACATTCTTAAAGCAGACCTGTTTAATCCTTCTCTTAATATGCGATTGTCATAGGGTGGTCACAATAATGTACCAAATTGATAATGACAAAAAGACATATTTTCAAGAACGCCTGTAGTGAACAATGTGATCTTTAAGATCACACTAACAAATGGACAGCTATATGTGATGCATTAAATAATAAAAGACAAGTGAAAATGCACAGAAAGATCCAATATGGGGTTTCTGGGGAGATGAAGCCTATCCAACAAGCGCAAGGCAAGACATACCCTGAACAAGACGCCAGTCCATCGCAGGGGCAGGAAGATTAAATTAACCAAAGCCTTTCAATGAGCAAATGGAAGAGAAAAATCTCAGCAGATGAACGTGTGCTGCTATGCCCAGCCACAGCAAAAAACAGCAAAAAATAAAAAAGAGAAGGACATGCTGTCTGAGCCACTGAGAGGGTAAGGAGTCTGAAGAAACCAAGCTGAGTATATAAATTAGCACAACCCTTGTCTCAAAAGGAGCACAGGCCAGTGTTTTTATAACATCTTAAAAAGTTTTTTTTTTAATTCATCTGTGTTCAAGTCGGAAAATAAATAGAAGCTGGATGGAAGTGGAGATAGGCAGGGAAACATGGTCAGCAATGGCAGTGGTGACACACAAAGCACATTCTCTGCCCTGGAGCTGAACAGGCCATTTCAACAACTGCTGTTTTCTTAATCCCTTCTCCATCATAACTGTTGTTATTGGAATTGGTCTACAAGATCTCTTCTGCTGTTTATTTTCAGGTTTCATTCACATTGAGCTTCATGGCCTTCATAGTATCCAGCAAGTACACACTGCCCAGCGGCTGTACATATCAAAAAGCCCCTTGCTTTCCCATTTAAAAAATATAAATATTGAACATGTCTACAGGCACATACTAACACTACACCCAGACATGGTAGGATTTGTACTTAGCTAGGTTAGTAATCAATGCAGTTCACACAATTTATTAAAACTATTTTAATGGAGAACTGCAATAAGGAGATCAACAGCAGTATGAAGCACACAAATTCCATCTGTCATCTGTTTCAGTGTTGTTCTCAATTCTTTGGTTTTCTATTTTAAAGGAAGTTTGCTCTTCTAGGGGAGTGCTAGCTTTTCATATCAAATTAAGAGGACCTGCCTGTGGCACAAATATACAAAGATAAATTTTAGTGAATGTGTGTGCACACCTATACACATATACTGCCATGATTTCATAGATTTCCAAACAAATGTGTTAATACCCAGTGTAATGTTGGTACGTACCACGACTTACCAGCATATACAGTAGGTTTTCAGAGTTAACTGAAATTAGCAAAACTAATATTGATTAGAATGAGTTAAGACCTCAGTTATTTTTTTCTACTATCAAGTCTGGCTATGTGTGATACCTATAATATTAAGGGCTGTTGCTAAATCACAGTGAGCTTCCCCTTACATAATACAAACCACTTCATCAAAAATGTTTCCAAAAGTCAAACCTACATTTGTGTCTTTCCCAGATAGAACACACTCATTCTTTCTCTGTGAAGATACTGGCCAGTGGATCTGTAAAAAAAAAAAGCAAGTTTTGAGTCACCAACAACCAACAAAGTACATTCAAAGTTATTCCACAGAAGTACAAAGTGCAGTTAATTCTGTATCCACATGCTACTTTAATCTGCCTGCACATCTTCTTGGCTAATTGTTGAAGACAGTTTTGAAAGAAACAGCCATGCAGTGCATTCACAAAATTGTCTAGGGGGATGTCAGATGTAAGGAAAGGATTTTTCACAACAGACCATATTAATAACACTATTCAAAATTCTAAATATTTTTCAGGTAAAAAAAGTATTTAACAGTCAATAACCTGTGGATAGGATCATTTTGCATAGACACAAATGAATGACATCTGTAGCAAAAGCCTCTTACTATTAAAGGCTCCTTGTTGATGTCATGTAGGTCCAGTGAAAGGATGTAATCCTTGCTCCCAACATACATCCGGTCATGGTCTTCATCCATTCGGAGGATCCGGTAATCCGTAGTATTCAACAAGAAGGAGAAATGATGAGCAGTGCCAGTGGATTTCAGCTCTGTCAAAAGCAAATGGCGGGAAAAAAGGGTCAAAGGAGAGATTCGGTCCATGTTTTCCTCAAGCTAAGGTGCTTTATCCCACAAATAATTCTCTATATGTGGCATCTCTGCTTCTGAAATGTTATTCGCAGACCAAAAGGCAAAAAAAAAACCTTAATCTTTATCTTTTACAAACCCACATGTTAAACTTAAGCCATTATTGCAGAGTTAGGTTATACTAAATAGACTATCATGAATGATTGGTAATGTCAACTCCAATGACAGAGGACTCCTCCATATGCTGCATATGCTGCTTTGCAGGTAGCTTGAGATTTTATTGTCAGTTCAGTGGCATTCAGTAGATCACCTCCCAATGTGCAAACACCACTCGTATAATAAGGCTGATAAATGATAGCACAAAGGTACTCAAATACACATACAATCACTCAAGACTCTACAATGAAACAAAGCACTCTCTTTGGCTCTGAAAAAAACTTCAGCCATTCAACATTTTGTTAGAGAAAGGTCAACCAAAAAAAAAAACTTTAAAAAGACTCTTGACCAAGAGAACCCAGTCAAGTATTTTGTAGCATTTAAGTGAACTAGAGGGCATATTTCCAAGTCTTTGGTTACTTTACTGTTCGAAGCTTTATTCTGAGATCAGTTTTATTCTGAATATTATTCAATTCTTGATCAAATATTTGTGACTGAGGCCTATTAGTGATTGTGGTCTCAAAGATAAAACATATGTCCCTGCCCAGGGTGTGTTTTCTTTACAGATGAAGCTGGAAAAAGTGAACCCCTCCTCACCACTACAATCACAGGCCCTAGAGTATAAATGGCTGGTGATGGGTCGCTGTTGGAATGGCTTTCATTAAAAAGGTTACAGACATACGCTGAATTCCAGAGGCCAGACGCGAGCGAAAGCTGCCGGACCTGAGCTTCTCTTCCATCAGCCTGTCAATAACTTATCAGTGTCTGTTTGTCTTTAAATAAAAGCTCATTGTGGCCATCTGTTGGGTGGGCCCAGCTCAGCTTTAAGTCTTACCTCTGAAGAAAAACACAACTGGATGAAGCCTATGTCATGGAAAAGACTGACAGTTTAAGGGCTAAAAGTCAACTGTCTTTCAATCTGGAGAGGAGAACAAATTTGACTGTCTGAGACTCTTCCACTTCACGTCACAAAAGTCCACTGTCTTGTGTTATTGCCAGGCAAGTACAGTACCTCACAAACCTTTTTTTAACTCTTATTAAACGTTTCTTCATGGGGCGCCTATACAAATAAGCAAACATACTGCAAGAAAAACCTGTACAAAGAATACTGACTTGACCCGTTCAATTTCTAAAATTCCCCTTAACCAGACAAAAACTACAAGCCAATTGACAAAGAAGGCCAGCATTATTTTTTTATTCTAAAAATATTATTTTTCCTCCGTCAAATCAATCATACATTAATTGTAGCAATAATTACTAATAAGTATTGGGTACAAATTAAGTGTAATTGCATATCATTTTCTTTGATTAGTCACTTTGATGGTTTGTGAGCTATATTTAGAGTAAAAACAATCAAATGAAAAGTAGTCAAATTTTATTCTTGCTAAATTACTTTTTTAAACACAAATTAAATTACTGTGTTCTATTTTCATAATACAACCATACAGTATTTCTGATTACAAGAGTCTATCCCTAAAGAATTGTATAAAGAATAACAAAACTTTGTTAAACTGCAGGCTGTTGTAAGTATTTCTGTAAAAGTTTTCTCAAAATTTAGGAATATACATTTCCAAATAGTAACAGAATATTTATCCTTTTTCACAAAGAGACTTTTGGCAGAATATAATATTTGAAGATAAACACTATTCATATGTTGGATACTGTAGCATTATGATGTGTTTTCAATGCAATGCCAAGATAGCTCAGCAAAAAAAACAAGAACTGAGAAGCATAAAGGAATCGTGTTTACACTGGAAAATCAGGGTCAGGATCAAATAGCTGATGCATGGTAAAAGTGTGAGGACATTGTAACTTTTAAAACTTAGCACAACGCACTTACACAATGGTAAACATGTGAAACTTCTCTTTGAAATCTACAATTATTCAGGTTAGTAACATGTGGGTGATACTCAATTCACACCATGTGTTATACGTACATCAGCATATTTTTCCTAAAAAAAAAAAAGAAAAAGGAATGAAAAAATTAAGAAAAAAAAAACTCACATAACTCACTCAAAAGCATACAAATATCATGGCTAAGCTAGAAAATGGCACTGTTTCACTTTTTCTTCTATAGAAAGACAGTGCTATTCAAGCTCTTTAACCACTGACAGATCTTCCTTCATGAGTCATCAGCGATTTTCATGATGCACTATTCCAATTAACAACCAGTTGACTCAACACAGAGCATCTTACTTATGCAAAACCCTACTTGTATACTTTGCAAAATGCAACTGATCCACATCTACAACTAGCAAAACTAATGTTGCTTGTGTTTAACACTATATCCATGCAACCACTACAACAATATACCCAAACTCCTCAAAAAAAGAATACTGCAAATAAAATTCTTTAGGATTTGTTATACAAAAGAACAGGAACTTCCTACTGCCTGGCCTGAAAAAAGGTCGAAGCCTGTCAGCTACCGTCTATTATCTTCCCTTTTCACAAGATTCAAACATTTGCACTGTGTATATTAAATGTTGATACATTACACAACTGAAGCTGTGTAATGTGATAGCCTGTTTCTGTGGCCAGCCACCTGTGGAAACAAGCTGCAAGTCTCGAAAGGACTGAAACTACACCAATATTGAAATGAATTAATTGAAAAAATAAATACAAAAAATGGTTGGGGCTATTACAGCAATTAGGTAGGATACACACACTGTTCCACAAATGACTGCCTGATGTATGTTCTTCTATGCTTCATTTCAATATTATAATAACAATTCAACTAAATCTGCATTGTGCAATACAAAGATTACGAAGAATACGAAGCCCAAAATGGGATGACCTCATTGACAACAGAAATTGAGAAAAGAATCCAGGAGTACTGCTCCATTTTGAGACTGTGCTGCCTTCACCTGGACTCTTATCTCTTATTATTATTATTGCTGCTGCTCTCCAGGTCCAACACATTTAGGAACCAAGAAAAGGAAAAACACCACATTCAAATCCCATTATGGAATCAACTGGCAACAGATCCATTCAAGACCATTATTATTTCCCATTGGAATTTTGCTGTCTCAAGTTGGGGGGTCCAAAGTTCTTTAAAAGCAGGCATTGTTCTGAAGACTTTGCCCCAGTGGCATGGAAATAGCTCTATTAAAGGGAAAAGTGAAACTCAGTGTTGCTTATGAAGAGCAACTCGATCCACACTGGCTCTCAAGGTGGGCATTGGCAGAGGATGGTAAGGTGATCCCTACTGGAGGTCTGTATTCCCAGCAGGCAGTCTAATCACAGTCCTGTTTGTTTTCCAGTCTAATGAGTTCAGACAATCGAGCCTGCTGTCTCGATCACAGCGCTCACCCCTCCTGAGCCTCAGTGCAGCACTAGAACCTTAGCAGCCGCTGCAGAAGATGTAGCAAAGAAGTTACTGCAACAGGTCACTTCTTCCCGTCCTTCACCCAGTCAGATTAAGGACTTGACGTTGGTTTAGTAAGATTGCTTGTTTAAGGACTGAGATTAGGTTCAATAATGACATTTTTTATCTCATCCATTTAAAAACATTATAGATTCCTTGCAATGATCCATTGTGCTTTGATTTAAACGTAAATTTCATCTTGGCTATCGTGTTCTACCTAACAGAAATGCCTTTGGAGCTTAATGCTTAATGTTTTCCAAAGCAATTGGATTCTAAAACACTGATAGCTAAAATTACTTAAGTAAAAATAAAACAATTCATTTAAATTTGCCTTTCCATATTTTCTTTAGCTTTGAAAAGCATGAAAAGGAGCACAATCCACTTATAGATACATCACACATCCTTTGTGAAGACTTGTTAACTTGAATGCGATATTTGAATGATGCTCAAAACACTAATTGTATATAACAATCAGAAACGGTTAGTGTATGAAGTAATTTAGATTATATGGGCTGAAGCACAACAATGAATGTCATTTGCTGAGCAGGCACTGACTGACATAAGCATTTGAACTGGCTGCCAGACCCTGCAGGCAGCAGTGCTGAAGATTTGGAGGTTTGTGAGTTCAAGTGCTCGGGGAGTTTCAAACAAATCAGCGCAATAAATCCCCCATAAGCCAAAGACTCTCCAAGAAACGAAAGAGGAAACCTTAATCCTCCCAAAGCAGGGTATCTCTGAAGCACTGAGACGTGTTCTGCTCATGACCCAGCTTTCCCAAACGCAGGCTGGCACTCGTTCAGCCTGCTCTCACCAGGATGGCTGCCATACTGTCCACTGCCTCGTAACCTGAGCAAGGGCACAGGTGCGGGCGCTGACAGGCTTGGTAAAAGAAGCCATCTACAGGATACTTTATTCTGTGCCAAAGCCAACACACTGTCCCCTTTCTAACTGCATTTCTTGCAAAACATCTGACACTGGCTCCACCGATCAGCATTCCATTAGACTGATCACCCATTGCCCTTATTAAACTTCTCCAGCTCACAAAAGGATTTGAACACACAAGGTAGAAAACGTCTGATAATCGCCACTTCCCTGTTCTACTTTCTTAAAAAACTAGGCCTTCCATACTCAAACTCAAAGGTTCTGAGTAATAACAGTATCTTCATAAAGTACTGCAGAGGATGTTTCGTATTGCTCCCCTGTTCAAGTGTGACATACAGGTAATGACTACATATTTGTCCACTGTACAGGCTCTGCATTGTACCAATAAGTATCGCAGTACAGAGGTGCAGACTCAAGGTCACGGCAGCAAGATACTGCCATCATCCCTGTGCAATAAGCATTAATAACGCCACTCTCCACAGCACATGGTTCCTTCTGTATATTAGAATGAACGGAATCCAGAGTAATTGCTTTCACATTTCCAAGCCAGGAGTTTTGACA